ATTTAATAAAAAAGTTAATAATTATTATATAATTAATTATTATTTATTATAAAAACGCGTTAATATTATTATTTTAATAATATTATTAATATTATTATTAATATTATTATTTTAAAACGTTAAACGTATGATTTTAATATACGAAATTTTAAATTTATTTTAAACCATAAATTTAAAATTATTTTAAAAGGTTATTTTAAGGTTTAATTAATTAAAAAAAATGTGGTTAAAAAAATATAACTTTATAAATAATTTTAAATTTATGGTTTAAATTTATTAAAATAAAATTATATTATTTAATTTATAATTATTTTAATTATTATTAAACGATTTTATTTATAATTAATTTATTTTTTGTAAAATTAAAAATATTATTAATATTATATTAATTATTAAATTTAAAAAAAATAAATTTAATAAAAATATTACATTAATTATTATATTTAAAATAAATAAATTTAATAAAAATATTAATATAAATAACAAATATTAAAATGTAATTACGTAAAGATAGTCACGTGGTAACACGTGATTAATCTTTACACAAAAGGCATTTTTTTTAAATAACATTTATACATATAATTTATCATTTTTACATTAATCATTACAATAACAGTCATCGCGATAATTTTATTTCGTATTTATATTTTACTTTTTTATTAAATATACACTGCCACTTTACCTTATTATTTAACAACAAAATGTTATGTTAAATTTATTTATTAACGATATAAAATTAAATTATTTTTAAAATTGTTTTTAAAATAATATTAATTTTAATAATATATTATTATTGTTTTAAAAGTAAAATTTAATAAATATTTATTAAATTTAAATGTTATTTATATAATGTATTTTTTAATAAATTTAATTAAAATTATATATTATTGTTTTTATTATATTTTATTTTATTTTTAAATAAAAAAGTTAATTTTATAAAATTTTATTAATGTAAACTTATATATTAAAATTATATGTGTTATATTATAAAATGAAATAATAAATGTTTTATTAAATATTATAATTTTTATTATATTAATTTAAATATTTTAATTCGGTAATAAATTAAATTAAATAATAAGTTTTATGTTAATAAATAATATTATGTTTTTTTAATAATAAAAAAATTTATTAAAGTTTTAAAAGATTTAAATAAATTAAAAGTGTAAATATTTTTTAATAATATATTTTAATTTATTGTTAATATTAAAAATATATTTTTTTTAATATTATTAACGTAAAAAATGCAAAGTATTTTATTATTATTTTAATATTTTATTTATTTTTATTATATTAAACTCAATTAATTTATATTAATAAAATTTATATTAATATATGTTAAAATTTAAATGGTAAAAAATATTAAATAATTAAAAACGGATAATTTTGTTTTAAAACTTATTATAAAACCTTTTTATATTTTTATTTAATATTTTTATTTTAAAATTAAATTATTTTATAATATAATTTTAAAATAAAAGTTTAATTTAAATAATTTTTAATTTTAATATAAATGGTAAAATTAAAATAACGTAAAACACAAGTTAACAAATCACACAAATTAAAGGCTTAGCCGAAATATAACCGAAAATCAACGTTTTTAAAAATTAATAACTTTACGAATTTTTAATTATAAGTTTTCAAATTTTAATATATTTTATTTAACCATAAAACTAATACGAAAATAATTTCTTTAATTTTTTTATTATATTATAATAAACGTTATAAAAAATATTAATATTTTTGGATCCATTTTTAAGTTTTTTAATTTTTTTGATTTAAAACATTAAAATGAAATTTATAAAAAATAATATTATTATTATAATTTAAATAAATATTTAAATTTAAAAACCGATTTTTAATATGATTTTTTTAAATAAAATGCACGGTTACGCATAAACGTATTTTATATGTATTTTCGTTAAGCTTTTAATTTATGTAAACCGTTAATTTATAAATTACGTTAAAAACTTTATTTTTAAAGATATTTTAAATAATAAAAATAACAAAATAATACGAAAAAATTTAAATGGAAAATAATACAATGATTTTATAAAAATAATTACTTTAATATTATTATTAAAAATATAATAAATTATAATAATAACAATTAAATATTAATAATTAAAAATAATATATTATATAACGTAAAAATATATATAATAAATTTTAATTTATTTTTCTTTTATTAATATACTTTTTTTTTATTAATATATTTAAATATTATTTAAAAAAAAAAAATTTAATTGTAACAGTAAAAGTTAATAAACAAAATAATAATAATGATATAAATATAAAATTACCTTTTATTAAAATTATATTTTATTAAAATAAAATAGTAATTTTTCATAAATACCATATATTAAAACTTTACCGTTTTTCGCTTTTTAAATTTACAAGTATTATGAAAAAAAATTATTAAATAATATTTTTTAAAAATTATTTTTAAATTTTATTTAATTTTTTTAAAAAATTTAATTTTTTAAATGTGTTATTAACGAAAATAATAATAGCTTTTTATTTATATAAAAGCCGATTATAATTAACCGTTTTTTAAATATAATAATTATTATAATAATAATAAAAAAAGTATTATAATAAAAAATAATAATAAAAAATAATTTAAAAACATTTTTAAAAAAATGGGAAAAAGTAAACATTTATATAATAATTAAATAAATAATGTTAAAATATGTAAAATAATAATAATTATAACGAACAATGGTAATTATTATTAAAAAAATAATAATACTTTTTAATATAATTAAAAAAAATAATGTAATTTAAAATTCGTGTTAATATTTTAAAAATAAATAAATTCGGTAATAATTTATTTATTATATAGTTTTAAATATAAATAAATTTATAATATTAAATGTTTTTTTAATATATTATAATAAATTTAAAAGATTTAAAAGTTAAAATATATTAAAATTATATATTTTTTATATTATATATTAAAAGTTAATATTTAAATAAAATCACATTATTATTATTTTTTATATTTAATTTTGTTTTAAACTTTATAATAAATAATATTATAAAAACCGTTTTTTAAAAAATAAGTTTAAGTTTAATAAATCGGTTTAAAAAAATAAAAGTAAAAGTATTTAAATTATAAATATATTTTAAATTTTAATTATAAAATATTTTATATTTTAATTTATTTAAAATTATTTTATAATATAATAAATTTAATGTTATAAATTAATTTTATAATATAAACGTTATAATAAACAACATATATATATATTATTATAAATATTTTATATATTATTTTATTTATAATAAATTTTTATTATTTATAAAACAATTTTAATATTAAAATATAATTTTATTTTAAATAATTATTAATTAAATTTAATATATATTAAATATTAAATCACTTTATTTAAATTATATATTTTTTATAATTTATATATTAATAATATTTTTATTAACCGTTTTATTATTATTAATTTTAAAGTAATTTATCTTATAATATTTTATTTTTTATTTTTTATTTTTTTATTTTTTTTTATAAACGGTTTAAATTATATAATACATTTACTTATTCGTATATATATTTTTAATTATTTATTATTATTTTTTTATTAAATATAAAAAACTTTTATAATTTTAACTTTTTTTAAAAAATCTTTTTAATATAAATTTTTACTTATTAATATAATTTTTTATAATAACTTAAATAAAATTTAAAAATTTAAAAATTTAAAAATTTAAAAAATTTAAAATTTTATTTAATTTTTAAAATATAATATATTATTAAATTACAAAAAAAAAAATTACAAAATATATTATTAAATTGTAAAAAGAAATTTGTAAAAATCAATATATTTATTTATAAAATATATAATTAATTAAGTTATTAAAATATATATTAAAATATATTTTATTAAATATTATTTATAAAATAATTTTTTTATAAATAAATATACTTTTACATTTATTTTAAATATTATATATATTATTTTATAATTTTTTTTATAATTTTTTAATATATTTTATATTTATTTATATATTTATTTATAAATATTTTTAAATAATATTAAACGGAAAATAAAAAACGTATTAAACGGGTAATATATAAAATTATTTTATATTAATATATATTTAACTTTTTATACAAATTTATTAATATATAATTATATTATATAATAAATTTTAATTATTTATATTATTTTAAAATGTACGTTTTAACATATTTATTTTATATAACTTTTTATTTAATTTAATTTAATTAATTTAATAATAATATAAAATTTATGTATTTTTATTTAATATATTATATTATTTTTATTCGGTTATATATATCGGTTAAAAATTATACGGTTATATGTAATTATTTTAAAATAAAACAGTTAAAATTAAAGTTTTTTTTAAATAATTTTTAATATATATATATATAAAGTTAATTAATTAAAAAACGGTAATATATAAAGTTATTTAATTAAATATTAAATTAATTAATAAAAAAACGCGTATATTAAATAAATTAATAAAATTAAAATAACTTAATAAATTAAATAAATTTATTATAAATAATACATACGCGGTTAAATAAATTTATATAAAAATACATATAATTATAATATAACTTTTATTAATTTTATTATTTATACATTTATATAAAATATATTATTTATTTAATACGTTTTTTTTTATTTGTTTAATATAATTTAATTATAAATATATATAATTTAAATAAAATAATTTAATATTTAATATATATATAATTTAATTAATAAATATTTAAAATTTAATTATATTTTAACGTTAAATTTTTAATATAAAAATTTAAAAAATTTAAAAAAATAATATTATGTAATAAAATATTTTTATTTTATTTTTTAAATTTATTTAAAATTTATTATTTTAATAATAATATTATATATAAAATAACACTTTTGTGCATAAATAAATAAATATAATTAAAAAGTAAAAAAATTAAAAAAATATTAATATTTAATGAAATATTAAAAAAAAAACCCAAAAATATTCGACACCTGTGTGATTCGAACACACGCCCCCGAAAGGAATGCCTTCTTATCATCAATCCAATAGCAGGGCATCGCGTTAACCACTCCGCCAAAGTGCCTAGTCGCCTTTCAGGGTTAAACTTTTCCCGCACGAACCAGCCCTATATCCATACTTTGCACATTAAACCCAGCTTTCACCTAAAACAAAAAAATCAGTAACAGATTCGCAAATGATTATATTTAATTATCATAAGAATACCCAAAATTAAGTCATTGAATATGTTCTTACGGTATCACAACTTCATCCTAACTCATCGTCCCCAGAAAATATTGCTTGGCTAGGTGTTTATAGTATTAGACACTAGCTCCTCAGCTGGCCCTTTGCCGCTCATTTCCTTTCACTATTTGAACCCTCAGCTGGACATTAGCTGAGGGTTGTAAAGTGAAGTGAAATTGTATCCGTTTATCCTCATCAGGGAGTATTATACCCAGCAAGCACGAACCCCTGTACCTATATTACAGAGGATGTTTGCTATATAAAAAATTACCCGAGATCGTAGCTTAGATTTTAAGCCGTGTTCCTAGATATCAAAAGCCAGTTTGAACTTGGCGAGGAACGAACAGATCCATTCCAACTGTTGTAAGATGTAACAAAACGATACTAGGGTGATCTATGTCCGTATGGATAACTAGCCTGGTTTGCATATGAATCTACTTTAGACTAAATAGATATGAATAGTTAATGTGTTACTGAAAGCGTACCTGGCCAGCTGTAAGTGTCTTACCTTGCGATATGGAGATTTTCTTTTGAGGACAGAGCTACATGGTATTTTGAGAGTTTCCTAATAGTAGTAACTTTCCTATAAGTAGAGACACCCAAAGCCACGAGGATTTGGACCGGCCTAGAGCCGTAGCAAACATGTTCTTACCCATAATAGGTGGCAACTCCCACCAGAGTGTACCAGTGGCGTGCCTAACGCCAGCCATGTGTGATTTCCTTCAAGTTTCATTCACTCCAGTACATCCGGTTTCCAGTGTGTAGCCTAATATTAAGTCACCAAATATATACATTCAAGGTGAGATACTCATGATAGTACGCTTGGCTAACAGTCTCTTAGGCCTTTTATCATTAGGGAAATGTAAGCCAGCAGAAAATATTGTCTATAGCTGCTTCAGTTATAGTACTAATGGTGATGGTGTGAAGTGTAGCAAGTGCGTCAAGGTCTATTGCATAACCTCATTCGGGTGAGATCGTCCCCTCTCATGATCCTTATACCGTAAATGATGAGGCATGTAAGTTAAGCTAAGGCGTCTCTGTTCAACTTGTCTGTCTCAAAGAATTGACGTTACACCCTAATTACTGTTTGCCCTAGGTGTATGTCATCTACGGAATATAGTCAATGTTAGGCAACTACATACAGATAGTTCATGTAGGTCCCTGGGCCAGCGATGACGAGGCTTATTTGATATAAAGGGTATGGAGTGGTTGCCTTGGGAAACTATCCGCGACTACTGCTATCTTATTTGCAGAGCCTCGCTAGACGAGCCTAGATGTAGCATAAAGAAATTCCCGCAGTCTAAGGATCATTAGGTGTGATACTTACATGATGATAATGCCTCTAGCGACCAATAATACTTAAGGGCCTCATCGCCTCAGCGTAAGAGTTGGTTGGGTAGTTGATAGATTTAGTTTGGATCCTGCCGAATGATAAGTACCGAGTTTTCATGATATGATCCAGAAATAAGATATCGTAAAAGTATGTAAAGCTAGAGTGACATGGAATGTGATAAAAAGCCGGCAGACATGTAGGAGGGGGGCGTAGGCGCCTCATTTGTATTTCATATATAAATAATTTCTTACTTCTACCCCTCATGAAGCTGCAGACCATGCAGACAGCAACTAAGGCTAGAGATGCGGAGGTTGTTAATTTGCCAGCCTTGGTATTAATTTTCGAGCCCTGGCCCTAATATTTCCATGTTCGCCCTGTTAGAGAAAGCCCGTACGACGGACTACGTGTCAAAACCATACACACACACAACTAACTCTAGGGATCGGAATCGATCGACCATAGACCTACTGGGTTACGGAATTTCAGGGCGGCGGCGTTCTATCACTTCGGGCGACCATTGGATGGTAGGGACGGCAGACCGAGCATAGGTCTATACAGACCGGGCGATCACCGGGCACACCTACATACGCCTGTGAGAAGAGACGGAAGCCCCAAGTGCTTATGTCGACAATGGGATGTTGTCGTAAAACGAACAGCGGTGACGCCCAACTTCCTAGCATCCCTAGATAGTAGTTTTAAAATGAGGAGAAGTGCAAAATGTTATTATGCATCGCTACAGTCAATCAGAAAAATGGTGGCTAATAGCCCCTTGATCCGGAACCTATATGTTCAAGACCCTCTCCCACCGAATCCCCATGGGGTGACTTGATCCATCGCCTTTTTGTGCATCTTAGGAGCGGATCTTAAACCTCAACTCCTTCGGCTGCGCTCTATTTATATATAACCCGAGAGCCTTGTGCTCCGAGCCAACTAGACGCCTATATTCTGCTTTGTGCACATTTCCCCATTTAAGCAGCCGCTCCTACGCAGCTGAACTATCACTACGATGGCCGAGAATCACGGCGCGCTGCCTCCTAATGGACTCCACAGAGCTCAAGGGCCTCCTGCGGGATTCGGCGGCCGTCCGGTAGGACAGCCGCAGTCTATACCCCAGCAAGCAATCCCGCCCCGAGCTGGACTCCCAGTGGACCTGACTAGGGGCCCTTCTGTTAAGATTTCCGACGTAAGCCGCGGTCTTATGACCGTAGATGACATGAGAGAAGACCTCGCAGAGTATGTTCTTTTCCGATTTGAGAAATACCCAGCGCAAAGTCGATATGACGACGAAGGACGATTGCAACTCCCTACATGGGATAAGGCAATTAGATCTCGGGTTCAGAGTATGTCGACTGGGGAGATAAAGCGTCGGATTCAATATCTGAATAGGAAGACTCGCACACCTACCGACAAATTGAGATCCCTAAGCCCTGCGCTCCAGCGGCAAATCGACGAGGCGACAGAAGAGCTCACGATACAGAATCCGGACCCATTGAACTATCGCTGGGTGCTTGTACAGCTAGACCATCAACTCGCAGAAATTGATCCGTATGTTTTCGTGGCTGGAGGAAACCATCCACAACCTCGACGACATCATGGCGTACCCAGGAGGCGAGCGCATCGACAAACGAATGGGAACAAACCTAGATCTTTCAAGAGGATCTCATTGACAACATATTTCAAGCGTGTTCCTAAAGCAGATGCTGATATCCTTGCTCTCTATGAAGCGAAAAAGAGAGTGCTCTTCTCGCAAAATAATCACATCCCCCATCCGCAGTCACAGCCGCAGTCACAGCCGCAGTCACAACCACAACCACAACCACAACCACATCATGGTTCGAATCCTCGAATACCCCCACTAGGACCTGGTCCTGTTGAAGGCAGGCCACCATTGGGGCCGAATGGGAATCGCCCACAACCGGTTCCGACACGTCCTAACGGATCAGGATCAGGATCAGGACCAGGACCAGGGCCAGGAACCAGACGTCCTGCTATGAATAATACTGCAGCTGGCAGCGGAGGAAAACCAAAAGCTGCCGGTATAAAGCACAACAGACTTGAAAGCGACTCGGGCTACTCCGACTGTTTGTCGGATAGGTCATTTGATAGTCAAATGACGCCGGACACTTCCTACTCGTCTGAGTCGCTCAATAGGGGTAGAAACCGCGGAAGAGCCCATAATAAGGATCGTGTACCGGTTCGGAGCTTGAGCAGAAGACGTGACACGAATAGACTTGGTCGGGGCCTACCTGAACATCGCATAAACCACAACAATCATTTTGACATCGGAAATGGGGTTAGGATGCCGCCTACGTCGGGACCTCTTCCGCCCCAGATGACATCCCCTATTGATATCGACAGAGCTACAGAAGATGCTTACCTCGCGGGCGTCCTCCGCGGGAGAGACGATGCGCGGATGGCACAGCAGCGAGCAGGCCGTGAAGCTCGGTACTCAAGGCCTAGTCCGCGCTTTATTTCAGGGGCGAGGTCGCCAGCTCCTCCATACAGAAGACATATATCAAGACATGTATCTACCTCTGACCGACGAGGCGATATTGATGAAGGAATATCGCGTCTCAATCGCTTATCTCTTGATGATGAAGACGACTACGATACTGTATTGCGACGGGTGGATGGCCGTCGACGAAGAGAGTTTGAGTATCTCATGCAGGAAGGGTCAGTCTTGGAAGACGATCCATTTGACCGAGAGAGGCCATCATACCCGAGACATAGCGGGAGACAGTATGAAGAATCTTACGTTACGGATGGTTCTGATAGTGAGTTTAGTTTGCCGCCAAGGAGGAGGCGTTTTCACTACTGAATTAGTTACACCAATTTGCAACTTGGAATGTTGAGTTTATAATATGATATTTCTGATCCATGGATAGGATAGGTACCTATGAAAGAGATCGGTATAAGGAGAGTCCTGTTGGGGATGCGGAATGTATGCGGTACGGGATTAAGCATATGACGTATAGTATAAACATGTGTATAAGATACTTTGTTAGCGCGGATGAGCGATTTCGTAGTGAGCTTCTCACGGGTTACTTCCAGGTACATACCTAAAGACCCCGCCTACGGAAAGTGGGCTGTGCCTATGAGATTGAATTAAACATGGAAATCACCCGTTTTTACTTACATCAACAGTCCTAAGAGATTCCCCTACTTCTTCCGCGTTATTTTCCAATTACTTCTACTCTTCATATTAAACATTCTTCCTTCCTGGAACTTTAGTCGAAATATCTTATCTACCTATCTAAGCTTAACCTATCTCATTGCCCATCATGGCGCGCAAGTTCTTTGTCGGCGGCAACTTCAAGATGTAGGACCCCTCCATACATACGTAATATATACCTATGCCCCTCGAAGGCTAGCAAACGATATTTCTGGCGGGGGCTGGGGCAAGATCACAGGAGCTGATACGAATTGGTAATTAATATAGGAACGGGACCATCTCGTCCATCAAGGAGATTGTCGACAACCTGAACAAGGCTCAGCTAGATCCCAACGTTGGTAAGCTAACAATGCTTTCCTGTCCTTGAAAAATATATTCCTTCTTCTCCGTCTGTTCCAACTACAAGAGCATGGCTTTGCTCATCATGTCTTCCTATTTCTAGAGACCGTTATAGCTCCGCCGGCCCTCTACCTCCTCCTTGTCCGCGAGAACCTAAGGAAGGAAATCGGCGTTGCTGCGCAGAACGTCTTTGACAAGCCAAACGGTGCCTTCACTGGCGAGATCTCAGTCCACCAGCTTAAGGACAGTGGTATCGACTGGGTCATCCTCGGTCACTCCGAACGACGCACTATCCTAGCTGAGAGTGATGAGGTTGTTACTTCCAAGACTAAGTACGCTACCGAGAATGGCCTCAGCGTCATCTGGTGCTGTGGCGAGTCTCTAGAGCAGCGAGAAGCTGGCAAGACCCTCGAAGTCATCGCAGCCCAACTAGCTGCCTTAAAGTCACAGATCTCGGATTGGAGTAAGATCGTCATTGCCTACGAGCCTATCTGGGCCATTGGCACCGGCAAGGTTGCTACAACCCAGCAGGCCCAGGAGGTACATGCATCTATCCGTGACTGGCTAGCCAAGGAGGTGAGCCAGAAGGTTGCCGATGAAACTAGAATTTTATACGGTGGCAGCGTCAGCGAGAAGAACTGCAAGGACCTCAGCAAGGAGAAGGATATTGACGGCTTCCTCGTCGGCGGTGCTAGTCTCAAGCCCGCATGTAAGTACACACTGACTACCGCTTGCTTCTATGCCATTGAGCCTAGGCTAACGAGTTGTAGTTGTGGACATCATCAACAGCAAGTCTTAAACGGGAAAAAGTTGGGATACTAGCAGGAAGCTACCTCCAACGAGAGGGATGATGATGATAATTAGACGTGGAAGTTCATGCATGGGCTATAAATCCTAGGCTATGGCCTCTCTGCTCACTATCTAATTCAAAGTCGTAGTAAAAACGGATTAGCCCTGTGTTTTGAAAGTTTCCTCGTAAGCATCTTTGAGTGAATTCGTCATTTTTTTTTTTCGTAAATGTTGCCTTGGACTGTAGGTCTAGGCTCGTGGTATATGTGCCTTTAGCTGTGTTATACACTCTGCCCATATATAGTTGTACAAGGGTGACAAGTTCCCGGGTGCCGCCCTTCCATATCTCATTTATACCGGCATGCCTGTGCCGTGGTAAGGACTCCATATTCCTCTCACACTCTCGCTGATACTCGTAACCGGCTTGTTAACCTTCTTTATTTTCTCGCCGCTCGCGTCTCGTAACAGTTCCAACTTCTTCAGTATTTGAAGTGAATCCATATTCTTGACGCAAATGGACTTTTGCTTGCCATTGATATAGTGGCCGATAAGCACGGGGTGCTTTCGCGGTCGAGGGGAAACGGCGAATTCGATCTGGGGATGAGTCGAGGCGAATTTGGCCAACTGGGATTTGATGAAGGAGCTTTTCGCGAAGGTATGAAGTTAGAATTAGGTTCCTTTAAGTACGACGCTTCAAACGGGGTTGGTCTCACTTCATTCCTCTAGAACTTCCGGAATAGTCGCAATAGTGGACATCTATTTTCCTACATTGCAAGATGAAGGCACCGATGCCGTTCTGATACACTGTTAGCTATTTTCTCTGAATATAATAGATACTAATTGAAAATTAATATTTATTACCTGGCCAACGGAAACCTTCTCTAACGCCCTGATTGTCATTGTTGCGCCTCTGGGGATTTGGGTCGACAGCGACGTCTTCTATTGCTCAACTGTCAAATTTTTGTTTTACAAAAATATATGAAGTACCTAATCGATTCACAAACTGCTGGGGGGTTACGCACTAAACCAGATACGTGATGTGTACTGCATGTACCTATGCACGGACGGTACATACGTTCAATCGTAAGCACTTTTTGTGCACTTAGAAATGCTACTTCGGCAAGTACTTCTCTAAGTCACTGCCTGGTCTGGGAATATCTCGGCTAAATTCAATTGTTAACACTCACTCCACTCACTCGTGCAGTTACACGTACATTTGTAGGTACGAGAGTACCTAGCTAGGCCAAGTCGAAATTTGAATGGAGCATTGGAGCTTTCAAGCAATTTCCTCGACTTCCCCCAACGACGCGAAAACAATTGACTTCATTCTTTTTATTCTTTCATCCATCAATGAAAGACTGTGTCTATCCTTGAGCCCTTCCTTGTTTCGCCATCTCCCATTTAACTTTTCGATTTTATTCATACTTGTAAATTTGTTATTTTCCTGCTCCCGTTTCAGAGACCGACGACGCGACTATGACAGACAAGCTTCCTCCAAATCTTCTCGCCCTCTTCGCGCCGCGGCCGCCCTTACGATGGGTGCCTGCACCCGATTTCCCTCCCGAGCAGCGAAGGACGCATAAAATTACCGCCATCGCCAATTATCTCGATGCTCTTGCTTCCTATAAGGACAATGACGGATACCAACCTACAGAGAGCTGGTTGCAGATGCGCGACAGGAAAAAGCTAGAGAAGAAGGCCCAGCAAGAGAGGATGTTGACTGAGGGTCCACTAAACTGTTCGTGCCTCTCTATTTTCATTCTATCAACTCTCATCAGAATACTAATATAATCTGGTTCTAGACAAGCCTAACGAGGATCCTAACATACGTGGCGACCCGTTTAAGACTTTAATCGTCGCGCGACTGAGTTATGATGCCACCGAGCATGACCTCGAGAAAGAATTTGGGCGCTTTGGTCCCGTCGAACGCGTACGTTATAATCTATACCCTTACCGCTTCGCAGCCTTCTGTTCTTTTGCTAACATCTTTGCAGATTCGTATCGTGAGCGATACACATGCCCACGAGAAGCCGAATAAGAAAAAGAAGCCCCATCGCGGATATGCTTTCGTTGTTTTTGAACGTGAGAAAGACATGAGAGGTAATACTACCATTAATATTTCCCTTGGATACGGTTCTGCTTAACCCATGTCTCTCACTCGAGATTTGGCCCTCAAGCTTGCCTATCTCCTCCCCTCCCCCTTTTAACCCCCATTTTCGTCTAGACGAGGTATAAATATTTGGTAAGGCTTTACTGACAAATGCGCCTTGTTGCGCACGTGTAACTAGCTGCTCTAGATGGTTGCGATGGCATTCGCATTAGAGACCGCCGAATTAAGGTAGACGTCGAAAGAGGTCGAACAGTTAAGGGCTGGAAACCTCGTCGGTTTGGTGGTGGCCTGGGCGGCCGCGGATATTCTAAAGCTGCGCCTCCTCAGCCCCGCGGCCCCGGATTTGGGGCCGGTTTCGGTGGGCGCGAAGGCTTCCGCGGAGGTTTCCAGGGCCGTGGAAGAGGAGGAGGAGGAGGGTTCGGTGGTGGTCGTGACCGCGGTTTCCGAGGAGGAGGAGGTAGTGGCGGTGGCGGTGGCGGTGGGGGAGATTTCGGCTCCGGTCGTGATCGTGGCTTCGGTCCTCAGAACAGCTACAACCCGCCTCCCAACGCGCCGGCCGGTCCTAACTTCGGTGGACGCCGTGGATTTGGCGGAGGTGATCGGGACCGCAGTGGTCCAGGCGGGCCAGGAGGCCCAGGAGGCCCAGCAGGTCCAGGTGGTCCAGGTGGTCCAGGTGGTCCAGGTGGCCCAGGTGGTGGGTATGACTCGCGCAACGGCAGTCGCTCATATGATGATAGATCAGGCGGACATCGTGACGGAGGCAGATTCGGCGACCGCGACCGCCGAAGCGGCGCCAACTTCGAACCGGTTCGTGGCGGACGAGAGTATCGCGACTACGACCGGTCGAGAGACGACGAGAGTCGGAAACGGGGCTACGAAGGCACGTACGAGGATCCGCGAAAGCTACGACGCTACTAAGCCGACCGATCTTATCGAGACAAGAGCCGTTTGTCTTGGTGGGTATCTTCTATCTTCCGTACTTCTGCATCTATGCAAAACGTCCCGGTTTTTCCTTCTGCCTTTAGCCACCAAGGGTAAGCAAGGGTAAGATGGTTTTGAAAGCTACCGAATGAACGACAGCTACTTGATACCAGACGACGACTAGTCAAAAGGTAAAGAAAGAAAGCAGACAAGAAGACGCCAGAATACCGCGCAGCCAGTTGGGCTCGAGTTCGACCCAGAATCCTACTCCATCCTTATCTAGCAGCGGCTCATGTTTGATTGTTCCTTTTATCTCCTGGATCGCCGCAACCCTTATTGATACCAGAATATGGCGAGGTAATTCGTTTTTCTTTTTAACACCCACATGTACTCTATGATGACCGTAGGGAATAATTGCAAGGTCTAGTTAAGTCGCAAGCAATAAATAGCGAGTAGATTTTATTTCCTCAGGTAAGGTCGGAGGTAAGAAACGACGGGTATGCCTACTGACCGGGGATGATGTATTGTCAAGTGGAAAAGGGAGGCGTTGGATGGAAGTGAAAAAAATATAATGAGTCAAGTCGTGTAATCCCGTGTATTAGCTGTATTAGCAATAGTTTTTATTCTTGCTTGACACGTTTCTCATGAGACATAGCATCGAATTGAATTGTAAGATAGTCACAAAAAAGTTTTTATACGGCTGTCGTCTTGGATGATGACGACTCATATAATGCCTTTCGACCTAGATAAGCCTAACATGCCAATGCTAATGCGCGCATAGCGAAATAGTGAAAACCTGAATCAATCATGAAAACCCTTTCCGGCCCCTTTCTTTTTGCCTCTGCCAAGAACGCCAGCAACCATGGTATCGCCGTAAATGCACATACGAGAATATATACGGGGGAGAGGGAAAACTACAGGAACAGTGAGTAAGTATAGTATCAGCAACAGACATGTGTTTCCCCTTAGTCGCTTCCCTCGTCCTCAACGCCATCCATAGCCTCTGGATCCACGGGCGTGACTTCGGACGTGGCGGCGCTCCAGTAGGCGACGACTTTGATCTTAAACTCGCTCATGCACACGCCGAACAACTTCAGCAGCCTCGTCTGCCGCGAGTCTAACACGTCGCCTTCCCGACACACCACGTACCCCTCTTCCTTACGCGCTCCCTCAAGCGCCTCCTCGAGCACAACGCGCCCCTTGACCATGCGCACGGGCATGCCTAGACGTCGCAGCTCGGGCTCCAGGGTGTGTCCTAGCGGGACGTCGTGCTCGGCCGGGACCTCGCCGCCCGTCGCGTACAAGGTTCCCGGCGGGATGACGAAGTCTCTAGGTGCGACTGCGCCGGCGCGCGCGAAGTCGACTTTTTCACCCGCTAGAGACTCTAGGTATGGTAATAGTTGCGCGGGTGGACGGTTGCTGAAGATTAGGCCGACAGTGCCGCGTAGGTACGGGGTTAGCTTGTAGATGTTATCGGCGTAGCTGTCCTCGGGGCTGTGGCCGAGGGCGCGGGCCATGAGTTTTGTTTTGCCGAAGAAGAGGCTATGATGTTATTAGACATTTGTATATATATATATTTATATATATTCGGGTTAGAGAAGAGGGAGGGGGCATACCGGCTATCGGACAACTCCTGTCTTACGTCTTTTAGGTATGTATTGCGCATGTTGTCGACGGCGAAGATGAAGCAGTGCTGGTACTGGGGGATGCATTCGCGGATGTTTTCGAAGAGGCGCTCCTTGTTCTCGCGGGTCTTCTTGTTGACCTGCGTGAGGTGTACGACTTTGGAACGCTTTGACTTGGGCATTGTGGCGGTTTATTATATTGTGGTAGGTTCAATGGTTTGAATTGGGTTCGCTGTTTGAATATTCTTCTTTGGTTGTTACTGTAGAAAAAATAAAAAAAAGGAAAATATGCAAGTTCGCAAAATTCCTAATCGATAGGCGGGCGGTCTACCTTTGCCCCGCCGAGGCTTGGAACAGGGGTCTTTACATATGTAGTACGGATTAGACTGGTGCATTAAACCAATCAGCATTGAGAAATACATACTCAGATCCCGGACCCAAGAAAAACCGACGTCTGTTATCGATAATACGAGCGACAACGATTTCTTGTTAGGAAACTCGGACTTTAGCTCGTGAAGCTTTAGAAGCAAGTTTTCAAGCGTCATCCCGATTCTACATTTAAGCCTCTTAGCTGTTACCGTTAGAACCCGTTGTTTCAATCTTCTTTTCGAGTCGCCCCCTTTTACACACTACAGACGATATGGACGGGTAAGTCGACTTGAAACCGGGACAATACCCACAAAGGAAATAATAGAAACATACAGCTAATACGACTGGAACTTATAGGTTAACGGCATCCGAGACGCGCGAGCTGGAGCAGCGCATGCAGAAGCAGCAGATGAAAGTATTCTTTGGCGTACGTCGATCCAATGCCTAAATTCCCTTCGTAATACACAATAATATACATATATTATATATATATATATATATATATATATATACGTCAGGCTGCTAACACCTACTTCAAATAGCTCTTTAGCAACCTAGTCGACCACTGCTTCATGTCCTGCATCGACGACTTCACCACCAAGTCTCTAACAGGCCGCGAGTCCGGATGCGTCGCCCGCTGCGTCCAGAAGCACATGGCCTTATCCCAGCGCCTCAGCGAGCGGTTCCAAGAGCACAATGCCCAGATGACGCAACAGCAGCAGCAGCAGGGAGGAGGTTTCCGATAAGTCAACCGTTCTCGAGGAGAGCACTCTTATTTCCCTTCTGAGGGTTAGTGGGCTGTATATTATGCTCGGGGCTTGAGGTTTTGGGGTGGCTAGCTAGGACTAGATGTATGTTGTCTATGTCCCACGTGAAATGACATGGACAAACCAGGTTGGGTTAGGCGACCTTAACTGTGAGGGCTGCTAGGTGTCTCATCGTCACTGGCACGGGAGCCGAGGCTACGAATAGCCTTGATGTATTAATAGGGACTATAGGGGGTTCCCGTCTGGGGATGATACTCCGGCTCTAGACATGAGCTTTGAACATCACTATTTCAACTCCGTATATGAACTTACACGTATGTAATGTCGTAGTAGCTAATTGAGGAAGGCATTGTTCTAGTCAACAGTAAGGTTGTCTACCTGAGCTTCATGGAGCTCGTGAATAGATATGGCCCTCAGTTTACCAAGTTAACGACGGGTCTTAGCTATCAAGTACCTCAGTGACAAGCGTTAAACATATGTACTACGAAATGGCGCTGTATAGGGTAGAGTGGTAGAGTAAGATTATTATTCCCGTATCTTAATCTTCAAGTTACACGATTCTGGATTTATTTTGGACAACCCCTTAAAGAGAATTTATAGCATGGGACAACACATCGAAAATAATAAGAATCATACATCACGGAGATACCAAAATATAATGGAAGTAATCCCTTGTACGAATTATATGAAACACCATCGCAAACGTCGTAAATTCTTAACTAGGCAAAAGAACAAGCGCCGTCGATTCTAATCATCTGCCTATCCTAGGTACCTAATGCCGTGATCATTCCAAACCCTCACTTAGTACAATTCGCACGAGCTCCAACTGCTCCACAACCTTTTCCTCGAGCTTGCTCTCGAACCCTCTACCCTTGTTCCGATCCGAGGGCGGCATACTCCTCCACTCCGCCTCGCGCGACCCCAAGGTCACCAGCCTCTCCCTTAGGAGCTTCCGACGGTCTATCCAGAACTCGACGCTCTCTAGAAGTGCCGCCGAGTCCCACTCCACTGCCGGAATATCCCTGGCATTATTGGCGCGTAAGGCGCCCAGCACGCGTGTCATCAGAGCCAGTGAATGAATCTCAGACACCGATAGAAGCGTAATATAGTCGCGGTCGTTGCGGTCTCGCCTTCGACCGTCGCTGGGGGGCTCAAACCTATCAACGCTGGATTGCATGAGACTGGGAAATTGGTTAAGCACGTATGCGACTTCAGGGGCAATCGTAGTACCCAATGCCGTCAAGATATTGAGGAGCAAAGGAACAATACCCTTAGCCCATATACTATAGCATCGTTGTAATCCAACCGACTCAGCAAAGGGCTTCACGTTCGAGCGACGGAGGTAACTAGCCAAGTTGGCCGTCGTGATATGGTTAAGCAAACCGTCGCATGCTAACTGTTCTGCTACCAAAGGCAACGTGGATAGTTCCAGTAGGAAAAGGATTGATAACTCTCCATATATAGGATCGCCTTGATCGGCTATCCTGTCCGCCCATGAGTACAGAGATACTGCGGCCTGCACGACGTCGTGCGCGGTCAGAATATTGAGGATCTGCGTTTGATTCTGGTCCATCCCTGGAAAGCAAAGACAGGCTTGCAGGACGGCATTAAGAAGGGCAAAGTCGTTAGGCAAGACAGATGGTTGCGTGTCGTGGACCAAAGACACTAAAGTTCGGAATCCCTTGGCAACGGTGATGTCGATGATGCTCAAAACGGCCTGAGTAACTGTTGCAGCAGACACGGCACTCCCGTGCTTAGCGGAAGATGCATTCGTCGTCAGTGACCGAACCTGAGCTCTCAATGTGACGTATAATAGCTTAAGAAGTGTTCGGTATAGCGAAATGTTCTCCGATCCATACGGCTCTTGAACGCTACTAACTGTTGCCCACAAGGCAGTCAAAAGCTGAGTGATATCACCGGGGGATGGGGCGCTGTCGACAACCCTTTGCACAAGCATAAGTGCCAAGTTCACTCGCGATTCGGCAAGGCGCTCAAACACTTGGTCGTGACTTTGCGTCTCTTCATTCGCCTCTAGGCATTGCTGAGCAACCTGTAAAGACTGCTTTTTTAGAGTATCATTACTTGGTAGACAGGTGCTGAGTTCAAGGAGTAGAAATTCCCAGGCATGATAAAGACTCTGTATACGGGTTAGCGGTAGCTCGATTCGGATCTGAACTCTAGGAAACTTACGATTTGGGCGTCGACTAGCGATAGATTAGCGTTGGCCTTTTCCATCTCGCTTCTGAACCCGTTATTCCGAGGACCAACCCAGCCCGGGTCGAACGCAAGCAGCTTGTCTGCAAAGCTCAAGGCATAATAGAAATCGACTCCTAAAGGCCGAGGCTCGAGTAACGTCCGCTTGAAGTTATCGAGGGAACAGCCGGGATATTGGTTGCTGAAATTCCGGGCGAAATTAACATGCAAGCCCCGGTTATAACCGGAGACAGCCACACCGTCTCTCAGGTAGTAGTCCAGATCGCGTGTCAATTCATTGGCGAATGCATCGGCTTGGCCTATCTGCCGAAGGTGGAAGAGTTGCATAGCGAATATCTCGGCAACGTATGCAGCGATCCGTGCTTCGTTGCACGCTCGTAATACATTGGATTTAGAAGTAAGGGAGGACGGCTTAAGGTCTCGTACGAACCTCCGGAGCTCCGTCAAAAAGTTGGTATTCTTTTGTAAGGTGAAAATGGTCCACGGCCAGAAGTTTTGGGCCGAGGTGATGAAATCTAAAATTGAGAGGACTTCTGACTCCTCAATCTCAGATATAGAGCCAAGCCTATCGAGAGCAGATGTGAGCACGGAACTTGAAGACGCTTCTGCTGCTTTACCGATCCCGTTCTTAGCATCGCGTGGTGTCTTCCCTGTAAGAAGACAATTTGCCATCCACTGTTGCCTGTTTCTAACAATGGTCGAAAAGAATCGCCAGATCGCACTGACTTCCTGGGCTTGATCAAAAGGCTTGTCTAGCGTCGACAACAGTTGGATGAACGAACGGGACGTCTGAGGACCAAGATATCCAAGTAAAGAAGGGGGCTCCCCTGTACTTTTGCCGGAACTGATCACTAACGCTTCCAGAAGCTCGATAGCCGGTCCTCTGAAAGTGTCATGGCAGGCACAAACACGGGCAACAAATGGCGCTGCTTTGAATAGTTGATGCTCAACCGTGGTCGAGGACCGGTCGAAAAAATTCGCCACTCTCACCAAACTTTTCGCCAGCCCGAGCACCGCTTTCGTCTGAGCCCGGAAAGCCTCGGACCTGTTCGAGTATACGGTAGAGCCGTACGGTTGCGTTGCCGTAACCAGGGTAACGAGAAGTGGCTGGATACGAAGGCTTCCAGCCGACGGCGCGAGGAAACTATCCAAGACATACTTAGCGGCCGGCTCTAGAGCCGACATCAAAAATGTCTTCGAATTTATATCGTCCATACTAAATGTGTAGTAGATAACTTTGTCCATAATCGGTACCACGTCACGTACGAGGACCATACGATCCAGGTCGGACGCGAATCTCCATGTAGACGAACTCTCTAGGATATCCATCGACGCTCGTACAATCGACAAGGAAATCTGGGTCACTATCTTGTCCGAAACCCCTAACCATATATCCTGGGTTTGCTTTTGCCTGGAATTTGTCTTTGCACCCGTTTTACGTCGCACCGAACTGCTCATAGCGCTGTCGATGAGACTGGAGAATAGACGCACAGCAGACATTAGGAACTCCAACCGAACATCAGACAAGTCAAGGCTCCCAACTAGCCTGGCAAGTCGACCTCCTTGGCTTTGGTTGCCAAGGATTGTGCATCGCGACATATACGACCAGACTCTGCCCGGACATATCGGTAGAACAGCATGGAGGAATTGCAGGCAAGCCGCTACAGCGGCTAACACGTTACTCTCTGGGTCTGCGTCTAGAAGAAGGTCCAGCGTGTCACAAACAACCGATATGATATCTTTAGTTCGTGACAACGCTCGGCTGGCCTCGCCTACAATGGCCAGCGCAGCTTCTGGAGTTTCAGAAGAGTTTCCACCCAACGTTTCAATTCTCACGCATTCTGTACGGACGAGTGTAGCAAGCAGCGACACTGTCTCTGCGGTATCTTCCGTGGTAAGTTCTCCGAGCTCCAAATTATACTTGCTTGCAACAAGATTGGCGTCCAGTCTCTTTCCAAGCAGAGCCAGGGCAGAGTGCTCATACTCCACTTGCACAATTCTCCCCTCGTCCACAATGAAGCGGCCATAGGTGCCCGCCGGTATTATGAAATGTTCGTCTTCTGCCGTTATTCGCCTCCGACTTGCTACTGGGGCAAAAAGGGGGAAATCTTCTAGAAACTGAAAGCTATTAGAATTATCCTCCTCGTAGGCAAGTTGATAATCATTGAAATCGTGGGGTAGAGTAAATGTAAGCGTCGGCGTTTTTTGAAGGAGCTTCAAAATGAGTTCGCGATTATTGTCATTAGTATGCGAAGAATAAAGGGTTCGGCACAAGGTAAGGAATGGGATAAATTCGTAAGGGAAACGGTTCAGCGCCTGGTGGAAATAGCTTTCAAGAATGACCTCGTCGTTAAAGGCCAGGGTAATAACGTCTTGCTCCGCAGATGTAGTGCGAGATTGTGAGAGATCCCAGTAACCTTGACCACCAGACAGAACGGCTATTAGGGCGTAAACCGGCTCTGATTTGTATCCTACGAAAGGATAAGTGACACGGAGCAAGTCTAAAAATGCGCATCTCATGCGAGAACCGATCGAATCAGGAAATATCGCATTATCCGAGGTCCCGAGACAAGAGGACATAGCAGCAATAACATCGTATACTCGCGCCCGGTCCGTGGCCATAACAGCAAGTACCTGGACCCGTTTGAAATCGCGGTCCAGGCTCTTGTTAATGAGAAAGTCGTCATACCTCCGCTTGTCGATTGTAGTGATACTCCCCGCAGAGTTCCTCCTACCCAAGGTTGGGACCATCTGCGTAGCGGAATCATAGTTCTCCACAGCCTTTTCGTTTTGAATTGCATCCCGTCTCTCTGCACGTTCTTGATAGGATGAAAACATGGCATGCACTACTGGTATCCAGGCGAATAAAACCGGAACGGCATATAATGAGCCTTGGTCAATTAAGCCTTCTAGCACATCGTGGATTTGTTCAAGAACATTCGAAGAGGCAAGATATTCATCGTCCGTATTCAAATCTACATCTCCCTCGAAGAAACCCATCATCCGAGGAAGATTAAGAATAGAGAGGGAGATGACACAGACTAGACACTGCAGCGGAACTGCCAAGTCTGATATGTTTCCTGGAAGCTAGAGATAATGTTAGCAAGGAAGTAATTTTACTCCTACATCTAGTCCGAGCGACTTACCCCCTGAAGCTGTTCCAAAAAGCCCAATGTATCGACTAATGAAAACCATTGCTGAGCGAGTTGAGCAGATACGAATACATCGCTTGATAGATCCAGGAGCTGGAAGACAATAACCATGCGGTGAAGAGCTTCGGTAAGGCACGTATGAATCCATCGCTCGTTGAACTCGTCTGTCAACAAGATTTTATCATTTACTACCTTATCAAGAGGGGTTTGGGAACGAGTAATAGAATCCGGAAGTAGATTTAAATATTGAGATACGAGGGCGTGGTAGGCCTTGGTGCGAGTATCGTTCGGGGATTTCTGAGGCTGTTTGGGAGACATGCCGTATGCTTTGAGGTAAGACTTTCGGATTGTCTCTGACGTTTCGGACCGTGGTGAAACGGGCATGCTTTCTTGCAGCATCAATGTGAAAATATAGTCATTCGTAGCAGCGTAGTAGCGACATTCTTCAAGGTAAGTCTGGAATATTCGCTGCTTCCTGCTCTCGGGTTTCTCGAAGTTTGCCTGTATGTCGGCCGCGTCGAGCGTGCTCACGATATTAAACCCAGGGAGGATGTTGGTGGTTTGCGCATTTGAGGCGCCGGCAGCCTCGCGTAGACTCGCGACATCTTGATTAGAGATGGGACCTAGGAGCTGATTGCGAGGACGTGACTGGAACTCGATAACAACTACCCGGAGAGCAGCGATCTCGTTGATGAGAGCAGTCTTGCTCAGCCAAAGGGTATCTTCTTTGATGACATTTATGTCGTACTTGTCATTAGGGGTGGGAGTGACTTGTATGGCAGCAGTCTTTTTGATAAATGCTGCATTGTGAGGACTCTTATCGCTTCGCGGATCGAAGGCCGAGCCGGGTTTGGTGAAGAAGGATTGGACTAGAGGGTCGGTGAGATAGTCGACGACGGCAGAACTACTCTGTCGATGGCCAGAAGGATCTGTCAGTGCTGAAGCTAGTAGCCTCCACGATCTGAAGCCAGCGGGAAACGAGGTTAGCAGGTGAGGGTAACTGAGATAGTGGTTGTCGATAATTCATGGTGTTGCACTTACAAGACGACAGTTTCGCCCTTCAAGCAGGGCTCCAAAGGAGGTAAATAAACATGATCGGATAGTGGTTCTGCCATTGCTGCAGCTATCAGCAGGCAATGGATAGGTTAACTGTGCATCGAATGCATGTGAATTAGCGAAGGACGAGAAGCTGTTAGCTTTTCGCTGCGACGCGGTTTAAGAGAAATGTTGGAAATCGCAAAGTCGCCGGATTGCTGCTCATTCATTGGAGCTTTCCACAGGATACTAACATAAAAAAGAATGTTCAGCATCAGAGCTTCCGCCGTGCATGTACCCGTTACATGTACCCACCCAGAGGTACATGCAATACCGCGCGCAGGTACGCGCTATCTTAGGTAGGTAAGTAAAGCTAGTTCCAAATGGATAAGTGCACGAAAAGCCACCGCCCACCGGATGTGGCAATGACCTATGTTATCGATAAATGGAAGATGTGCCTTTTAGCCTCAGCCTTATACCTTGGAGGGGGCTACGGAATTCTGCCACTTTGTCATACCTCCGATGCCCGAAAATAATTCAAGTATTGTTTGCATGTACTACATAAAAGTCCCATTGAGGAACCGGTAGAGTGGTAGAGTGGGATTCTCAACTACAGTCGGATATATCGTCGTTTCCACGTTAAATATCGTCTCTTATTTTGTCCAAACAGTGAATTTGTGATTCCACCAATCGAGATACACTCATTTCCACCCCGGCTAGTAGAAGAGTCATCCCACTCCGACTTGTTTTATCATAGACAAAACAGAGCAAAACAAGAGGAAGCAAGAAACCAAAAAAAAAATTAAGGAATAAGTAAAACATGGCTACAATTCTGGACATCATTGACCACTCCCCTCACCATCCCGACCCGTCACCTCCTATCCCTACCGCCTCGAACCTTATCCTCATAGACAACTACGACTCCTTCACCTGGAATGTGTACCAATACCTCGTCCTTGAGGGCGCCAAAGTTACCGTATACCGGAACGACCAAATCACTCTCGACGAGTTGATAGCCAAGAAACCCACCCAGCTCGTCGTCAGCCCCGGTCCGGGTCACCCCAGCTCCGACTCTGGAGTAAGTCGAGATGCCATCCGGCACTTTGCGGGAAAGATCCCAATATTTGGGGTGTGTATGGGCCAGTGAGTTGGAACACTCTCCATTACAAACCTCATCTCTGACCTGTTACCTAACGCGGGTATATTTAGGCAGTGCATTTTCGAAGTCTACGGTGGTGACGTAAAGTCCGCCGGAGAAATCCTTCACGGCAAGACCTCGCCGTTGGCCCACGATTCTAAGGGAGTCTATGTGGGAATGGCACAAAGTCTTCCTGTAACAAGATATCACTCCCTTGCGGGCACACATGTCACTCTACCCGAATGTCTCGAGGTCACTTCCTGGATACCCAAGGACGATGGCTCAAAAGGTGTTATAATGGGCGTGCGCCACAAGGAGTATACGGTCGAAGGCGTTCAGTTCCACCCCGAGAGTATTCTGTCGGCAGATGGTCGGGTTATGATCAAGAATTTCTTGCACATGCAAGGGGGTACTTGGGCTGACAACGAGCGGCTACAGAAAGAGTCGCAGGCTAACGTTGGCGCAAAGAATATGGCAGTGGCGGTCCCGAAGAAGAATAACATATTACAACAGATATATGCCCGTCGAAAGGAGGCAGTGGCAGCCCAGAAGGAGATACCGTCACAACGTTTAAGTGATCTTGAGGCTGCATACGAACTTAACGCCGCCCCCCCTCAAATATCATTCGTCGACCGCCTACGTCAAACCCCGTTCGATGTCTCCCTTATGGCCGAGATCAAGCGGGGCTCACCCTCGAAAGGTGTATTTGCCCTTGAAATCGACGCGCCATCGCAGGCAAAGAAGTACGCTCTGGCAGGGGCCAGCGTTATCTCCGTGCTCACGGAACCAGACTGGTTCAAGGGTAGCATCGAAGATCTCCGTGCCGTGCGACAAGTATTAGACAGCATGCCCAACCGGCCTGCGGTGCTCCGAAAGGAATTCATATTCGACGAGTACCAGATCCTAGAGGCGCGACTCGCGGGTGCCGACACGGTCCTCCTTATTGTCAAGATGCTCGACGTAGAGCTACTCACGCGCCTATACAAGTATTCTCTTTCCTTAGGGATGGAGCCCCTAGTCGAAGTCCAGAACGCAGAGGAGATGAAAACGGCGATGGAACTGGGCGCCAAGGTCATCGGCGTTAACAACCGCAACCTTGAGTCCTTCGAGGTTGACCTCGGCACTACTAGCAGACTACGCAGTCTCGTGCCAAAGGAGACTATCATATGCGCTCTCAGCGGTATCAACACCCACGACGACGTGGTTGCCAACCACAAGGACGGCGTCAACGCTATCCTAGTAGGCGAAGCCATTATGCGTGCCCCCGACGCATCGCAGTTCATCCAGCAGCTCTGCGCAGGCCAAGTAACCGCCCAACAAAAACCCAAGCCCAACCCCCTCCTTGTCAAGATCTGCGGCACGCGTACTCCCGAGGGCGCGTTAGCCGCTGCCGAGGCCGGCGCAGATCTAATCGGCATGATTCTCGTGCCGGAACGAAAGCGCACCGTAAGTGACGACGCTGCGAAGGCTATCTCCAAAGCAGTCCACGACTTCTCCCGATCCGACTCATCAGCTTCCTCTACCACACCCATATCTAGCAATGCCGCAAGCGACTTCTTCACCTCAGCATCCCGCAAACTTACTCTTCCCAACCGCCCCCTACTTGTCGGCGTGTTCCAGAACCAACCCCTAGACGAAATCCTCGAGTTGCAGAAACGCTACTCCCTCGACGCCGTACAGCTTCACGGCCGCGAGCCGATCGAGTGGGCACGCGCGATCCCCGTCCCCGTGCTACGGCGCTTCTCGCCTGGTGAGCCGGGGCTGGGCGCCCGCGGATACCACGCCGCGCCCTTATTCGACTCAGGGTCCGGATCGGGACAGTTACTCGACGGTGTCGACGTAAAAGCAGCGCTAGCAAAGGACCAGGAACTACGAATCGTGTTAGCAGGCGGCTTAGCGCCGGAGAACGTAGCAGACGTAATCTCTGCCGCCGGCGAAGACGGTAGCCGGATCATCGGCGTTGATGTAAGCAGTGGCGTTGAGGGTCCAGATGGCCAGCAGAGCTTAGATCGGATACGAGACTTTGTTACGAGGGCGAAGGCTATTAGGTAGATGTAAAAAAATAGCAAGAAACATAAATGAGAAATGAGAAGAGAAATACTGGTCATGGATATATATCGCGGCGGTGCGGTAGGAAAGGGACTGAGGTCAGGTTAGGGGTGAGCTATAAAATAAAATAAAAGCACTGCGATTTTCATTCATTATTGAAGTATTCGCGTGACTTCGTGACTTCGTAACTAGCTCGGCGGCTCTTGCGCGTTGTCCTTCCTGTCCTGCAGGCTTTCACCTAGAGATCGAGTACTTAATCTTCCACACGGTACAAGTGCAACTAGTCAGCTCCTGGATATTAACATCTCTCGCGGCGGTAACCTCCGATCTCGATCTCGGGCCCTCAAAAGGAAAATGGTAACCTAGTAGGCCTCTCACATCCTACCATAGCACATCACGACAACCCCCTACCGAAACCGTCCCCTCCCCCGCCCCCCCGTAGTCTTATTCCGCGCGCTCTCAAGCGTACTCTTAAAATCCTTATACAGCGCAGCCACTATACCCTTCTCACGCCACCCGTCAACAATCCCATTCGCCAGATCGCGGCGCTTCCTAGCTTTCAAGCGCTCGCGCTCCTTAAGCTTGTGCGCAGCCATCCACCCGTCGTCTTCGAGCCGCTCCTCGACCCATTCCTTGAGGGCGTGTTTCCAGTGGATGAGACTGTGCGCCGTTTCCGCGTTACTGCAGCATACGACGCCTACGTGCCATTCTCTGGTTACCGGAGGTAGCGTCATGCCTTGCGTGTCGATGGAACCGGCGTTGCTTTCGTTGTCGTCGTCGTCGTCTTCGTCTTCATTGCTGTCATTATCCTCGGTGTCGGATTCGACGTCTGCGAGGGTGCTTTTGTAGTACGGGTGTCCTTGGAAGATAATGCGGAAGGAGGCGGGGTGGTTGCTTCGGCCGCAGGCGTCGCATGAATCGTACAGGCCACCGCTTCTTTCGGATCGATCCATCTCGTAAGCTTCCATTTTAGGCCTACCTTTTAGAGTACGGTAGAACTCGGCCTTCCAAGCGGCGGAGGCAAATTTGGAGGATGCGAGGGCGCGGATCTCGTCGTCTAGTTTGCGCCAGGCGTTGTTGTAGACGGGATCGTTGCGTTCGAAGGCAGGGTTGATACGGTTATGGACCAGCCACTCGATGACATATGGGAATTGATCCTTGAGTGGTCTATGCGCTTGAGCTGTGAATTCGAGGGGAATATCTAGATTTGCAGGAGCTCCTATAGGGGCATCGTCGTCATCGGAGATAAAATCTTCGAGGTCCTTATCGTCGTCGTCTCCATCTTCTTGACCCTCGACATCTCCCTGGCTATCCTCTTGGCTTATCTCCACAACTTCCTTTTCCTTTCGTCGTAATCGCTTAGCAGGCTTTTCCTCCTTTTCTTGCTCTTCACCTTCTGATTCCTCGTCATCGAAATCCTTCAGGACGACGAATTCTTCCTCCGGGTCCGTGTCGTAGAGTCCACGCTTCTCCTCATCGGAGTCTTCTGAAGATGTAAGCTTTTCAATCTTCTCACCAGCTCTTCGGCGGCGAAGAAGTTCTATCTTCTTCTGCTTTTCAGAACGATGGCCCTTCGGTGCGCCTCGTTTTGTGGGTGAAGAAGGAACTAGAGAGGCTGGTCTCTTAAGTCGACCAGGAGTTGAGACCGATGTCTTCCTCTTTTTCACTGGTGAAGCATCCGAGTTGCTCGAGTCCTCAAGTTCAATGAATCTCGGGCGCGGGCGTTTCAGCGAGCTAGGCGGGATAATAGGACGGTCATCGTCGTCCTCATCCTCATCTTCATCCGAGTCATCTAAAGCGATAACAGGAGGACGTCGACGTTTTAGCGTAGAGGGGGGAGCGATTGGTTCATCATCGTCATCGTCATCGTCGTCATCATCAATGACAGTGTTTTGAAGCCTGGTTGAGACAGACTGCGACGACTTTACAGGGACGTTATCCCCTTCCTCTTGGTCTGGCACTTCAGTCTCAGAGTCGGAATCATCACCCACGACGGGGCGCTTAGAGTCATGAAGTTTTGGCATGAAACTTGCTGGGGGCGGCCTAGCCGGCGATGTCGTATTTTGTGATAACCCTATCTGATTATGAGTATTATAATAATACAAACTAGGCTAAACAATAAAGGAGAAACAACAAATACATACCAACAGTACCTCGTAGTTTACTCTGCCTTTTCTTAGAGCGGCCCGAAGAACGAGTTGCTTGTATGGCTGGGGATGCGCGACCTGGGCTACTACTCGCACCTGTATTTTTAGAAAATCGTACGTTGGCAGGCGTAGCTTGACCCGGCGAGCTAGAAGCACCAGTAGACTCAAAGGTAAGTTGAGTCTGACGTTTCTTATTCTTACGAGCCATGACAAGTTGATGCGATCCGAATAGGTATGATCACAACGATGGAAGAAGATACTGAGGCAACTTAGTACTGTAGCGCCTAAGACTAGTTCGAGGGATATCAATAATAAATATCTCTAACGATGCCAAACGATATGTTTAGGGGTAATCGGGAGGTTTGCGAGCCTATCACTACCCCTCCATATCTGAAAGAAATGACGTAGGGACAAACGAATACAAACACAATAAATAAACCGGGAGAGATCCAAACTAGACCCGGAATCTGAAAGAGCACCGGTAATTGGCAGATAACAAGCCCAAAGGGTTTTAGTGGCGAGTAGATAGCGGTGATGAGGTAAAAAGCTAATAGTTTAGCTGAAGCCTGAAAAACTACGCGTCGCATCGAAATCACCTTGTCGATAATTTCGCGAAATCACGTGGCCTCCCATTTAAAGCTCTACTATGTACCTTAATTGACCGAGAACCCCGGAATGCCATTACCTTAAATCGACCACTATTTAAATATACAGTATAAATATTTTACATAGGTATCTATCTATAAGATTAGTCTCTCGATATTTCCAAAGCTCTATCTAACAAGTCAGCCTACATAGGTGTATAATATCACTTCAACAGCTCTACAAACTTTTTTACGCTTCTATTCGCGATATCAGTAGTATCTTTTGGGGGGATCGGGGTTGTATTCATTGTGAATGTGAAGTGTTTCGCAGGGGACAAAGTGTCGTGACTAAGTTATTGGGGGAGTTGGTGTTTGATCCACCCGTACACTATCTAAGCGTCTCTCTTCATCTCCCGTCATAATCATTACCGTCCTTCGCTGCTCTGTAAATCCTTAAGGACATGCCCTACTTTCCAAATCTTCCGCTACGGAGCACTTGCTCTATACATCCACCATGCAGCGAATATGAGTGATTGGAAGTCCACAACACCCAACGGATTTCGGGCGAACACCATCCTTGACACCATAAATACCGGTACATTACGAGGAAGCAGCGGGTTCCTCCTTCTTTTCCTCCGCCTTAGGCTCGGATTCCTCTGTCTCGGTTTTGGCCTGGGCTGCCTGGGCAAAGAGCACCTCGTTCTCCTTTTGGGCCTTGAGCCAGGCTTCCTTAAACAGTTGAGCATCTGAGACAAGTATTAGTATTAGATAGCGGGGGCGGATTAGAATCACGGCTTACTCTCAGCATTGGCTACGCGAACAGAAACGGTAATAGCCTCAGGTTCACCCTCGCTAACATCAGCGCCCACATTCCAGAGCCAGGCACGGTCGCTGGTAGACATAGGGGCGATCGTCATCTCAGGGGTAACTAGACAACCACCCTATTAGTTTATGGTGCGTAGGGTGGTGGGTATAGAATATCATACTATAGTGGTTGGCGCAAACTTTGAGGGTCTTGTCTCGTCGCATAACCAGACGAATCTTGCCGTTCTCCTTGTGCTTCAATAGACGGAGAGGTCCAGTACCACGCTCCTTCCATTCACCCTTGCCCTCGGCATCTTGAGTGAACTTGAACATCTTGCATCGCATGTTGAATATCTCCTCCTCGGACTCCTCGTGCGTTACCGTCTTGATTTTCTCGGTGAGCTTGTGGACGGGCTCGAAGTGGACGTCCTCTGAATCGGGAGCCACCTCCTCCTATACAGAAAAATGTTGTCAGCGCTTATCACGGCGAGCGGGAAAGAGTACATCAAGGTATATGGTGTATGTTTACATACCTCGTCGTCACCCTTCGCAGCGGCAGCGGCCTCGCGCTGGGCCTTGGCGCTACCGGAAACGTCGCCACGGTCATCATCCTCCTTCTTCTCCTTCTTTGCGCCGCCGCCAAACATGGAGAAGACGGATGAAGAAGTAAGAGGCTTGGTCTCAGCCATCTCGGTAGGCTTGGTCTCGCCGACCTTGGGTTCGGTGTTCTCGGTGGAGCTCATGTTGGATATTGCTAGATGAAAAGGTGAGTCGAGATTCCTTTATTTGTCTTTCTCCTTCGCGACAAATGATAGCGATCTTCGGATAAGGGAAACGAGCACTAGCAAGTAGACTTAGTTTAACTTGTCGTATTGCAGATACCGAACGTGTCGAGGATGGGTTAGGGAAGAAGATGGTTGTGGTAAATAAGAAAAGTAAATAAGGTGTCTAGACAAGCAACCTAACTGGGAAGAAAATAGACCTGAACAAGGAAAAGAAGGGAAAAAAAAAAAAAAAAAAGGACCATCAGACATGCCACCCCACCGCCATAGACCGTCGGTGCACAAGTGTGTCACACTCCCAAACGAAGCATAAAGTACGTAGGAGGGGTACCTACCTGATGTACCAAGATCTAGAAGGATTGATGCGATGCAAGTGATTTGATGCAAAGAAAAAAATATGCAGGTAGACGATGATTAAAAAAAGGCACACGTACCGGTCGATCTCTTCTACTATGTAAAATGTATGTACGGGAGCGCAACCAGAATATTGGGTAGAAGTGTAAGTGGTAGCTGGGTAGTATGTGGTATTAGGTTGAAATATTGTGGTTGACTTGTGGTTGACTTGTGGTTGACGGGTTCTAAATCAAATAACAATCTTGCAAAACAAACGAGGGGGTGGGGAATCTGAAGAATTGCCCCTCGCCCTTGCCCCGCCCTGATGCCCGCCCTCATACCTGCCTATCCGCCCTCTCTTTCCTCCCCCCTGCTGCCCTGAATGGTGGACCACAAAGTTGTGATTTCCCAAGGTCGGCAGGTCGGGCACCAAGTAACCCCCACCGAAGACCCATTTTCTTATCAGGTGAGAAAGGGGACCGACGGACAGTTAGCAGCTGTAAGAACTACTTACCTCTTTACCTATGTAGGTACCCTGAGTACATGTACATAATTATTTGTACATGTGACAATGACATACAACGTTCCCTATCTAATACTTTTACTTATAACTTCAAACTTGTGACAGATATATGTAGAGCTATCGTATAATTGAAATAAGGTAAATACACAAGCATGAAGGTAAAGAAATCAATATAGTCATATTACAGCCAAGATATCAGGTACCGTTACCAAGTGACAGCAACTTAAGTCGCATGGAGACACACCATCAGGGTACCCCACGAGAGAGAGCCTCGTCATTATCAACATCACAACTCATAGATTAAGAGCTTAGTTGTCCGTTATGTAATCCTTTATGCTGTGTAGATTAGTCCTTGGGGTTCTAAAGTAGCTACCTACAGAGATATAACCTACAATTATTCGTACGTATATCCAGCTTCGTTTAGATATCTCTTTAGGCTCGCCTAGTTAGAGTCTCACATTGTAGAACCACAAGGCGCCAAGGTAAATCCAAGCGAGCTGTATCATGTATAGCATAGAATAAAGAAAAGGAGAAAGCCTCTCGTCAAAGAATCAGCTTTAAATTACCTGGTTAGGACTATTATAGTAGTTGAGCAACAATGAATCTTCACCACGGGAGCTCAGCTCAGAAACGAGAGCATATCACCTTGCATACTATCTCACTAACGTGATAAGAATTACAAGCACAAAAGCAATGTATTTTCCGTGGTCTATTAGTTGGTCATATGCTTAGGGTTCCTCAGGTTCTATCTTATTGACAAACCACTACGAAGTCAAAGTAATAGCTCTCGAGCTCTATGCCCGGCGACTATCAACAATATCCCTAGAGCGGACGACGATTCATCCTCTGCTCATTATGTAGGGCCACCACCGCCTGACAATGCCAAATAGGGTTAGTACTAAGAACACATGTAAAACGTATAGCCTCTGAACTTCGTTATCCCCGAGTAACCCTGACGCTCAAACGTGAAGAAAAGGGGGGAATAGAACATCCTGTCATACTCCCGGTAGTCCATCCTTGTGTACATGTATCATCGACGCAGCAACTGAGTCGAAGAGAGAGATAAAGTGGGGATTCAAGGGAAGCACCGCTTTGTTCTGTAGTGGTGTCAGGATAGATAACCGAGGACAAGATAACCAGCAAAAACCACCAAATCACCCAAGCCCAACGCCGTCCCTGAGTTCACTCTCGCCAACCATGTAATTAAAATGTCTAGAACGAGCGGATTACGCCTAGGAGGCCCTCGTGCGCTTATTCCAGAAAGAACCTCTCGTCTCCTCATGCTCGTTCTTTTGCCGTGACCGTACCTGTTTCTTGACATACTCGGCTCTTTCCTGCCTAGCTGCTTTGGCTTCGACAGCCCTCTCTTTTAAGTAGGCCTCTGCCTTCGAGAGATAACGCTGGTATTCATCCGTCTTCCCCTGTACTCGAAGCCACCAGAGCTTAGATCTGAGCTGCGCAGAAAGGTAGCGTAACGTAAGCTCGTCGCGGAGATCTCGAGCCCCTTTCATAAGCTCCAACTGTGCTTGATGCTGACGTCGTGCTAGATCGTCGTCGACGAAGGACCGCTTAATCTGGGCAATAATCTGCGAGATAAGATGGGAAGGGAGACCGAGGACGGCGTTAGCGACATCTTTAAATCCCTGCAATAAGGTGTCGGAGACGGATGATGTTTGGCTGCAGACTTGTTTCGACATGACATCCAGAGCCGGTATGTAAGTCTCCTCAACCCATGCCGTTGTCTCGTTGACGGTGTCGACAAATTTCTGTGCGAAGCCTCTGACCAGCTGCTTTCCAGCATCAAGAGCATCTATGAATTTGTTCCTGCCGAAGTCGACGTGAAAGGTCTCCTTAACCTTAGGCTTCGAAGTTGTGGCAATAGATACGGCCAGGACATTATATGCCTCCTCAAGAGGTACCTGAATCAAGAAGCCCTCGTCTACAGAGGTCACCTTGGTCGGGATATCGTACAGGCCCCGACTCACGGCAATCAATATGGCGTCTTTTGAGAGCCAGGCAGACTTGATACTCTGGGGGATTTTTACTATGATCTCATTTCGATCATATAGTTCTGCCGAGCAGATGGTCTGTGGTTGGGACCGATTGGTGGCGTCCGTCTGGTCCTTATCTTTCCCAAATGACATGAAGACAAGGCCACTTGGCGAAGTACTACTAGTCTGCAACGCCTTTTGGGTTTGAGTATTGGTCAAAGTTGGAGTGGATACAGAAGTAGATATGGGGTTTCCAAGGGGAGAGGGGACGGCCGCGGAAGAGATCGAGGCTACCGGGACAGTGGATAGGACTTTAGGTGTCGGCGGACTGAACAGGAAGTATTTCCCAGTGATTACTAGGCCGTAGAAAACAGCAAATCCGGATAGGGCAATTAAGATACGGTAATTCCCTTGAATAAACCTGAGTGTCGAGCGATAGCTTTCTGAAATATGATCCTCCGAATCCCCGTGTTCAGGAGAAAGCAGATGTGCACAATCTTCTTTGCCTAGTACTGTGTCTTGAGAAGGCAACTTGTGCATTTCCGCAAGAGCTTCCCGGGCCTGGCTTTGGTCGATCTCTGCTCGGCGTGGTAAGCTTAGTATGCCATGCTGGGAGAAGTTTGTAGGGTGCTCGAGGCTTTGATTCGCGAGTGTCTCCACATCGGCATCTTCGTCATCGGTCTCAGCAGCGTATTCGACAATGGTGTCGTTAACTGTGCTGATTACAGCGGTTTCATTTAGTGTAGTAGCCTCCTCCTCCTCTTCCTCTTCGTCGGAGGAGGAGTCGGTATCGACTTCGTTGGCATCGACGTCGGTGCCGGTATCGGTACCAACTAGGCTCTGGACATCGTCAGTCCTTTGATAGTCGAGGGAACTGGCAGTAGACTCGGCCTGGCTCTCGCCATCGGTACCGATGACGTCGTAGCCCAGCTCGGCCAGGCTGGGGTCATCATCTGGGAAGTTTTCTGGCTGCATAATGTCGGGAGAGCTGGACGAGATCCAGTTCGTAAGCTGCCGGTTGCCTAGGGGCCGGGGAAATCGGAGTGAGGGTACAGAGTTGGAAGTATGGTCGAGGCTGTTTGCTTGACTCGACCCGGCTGCAGTGGAATGGGTAGGAGGGTCGGTAGATGAATGGGGAACAGCAGTCGGTATATCGGTAGGTGTTGATGGTTCGGGCTGTTCCATTACGCGGTAGAACAAGACGCCTTTTGCAAGATCACGTCATACCTCAAGTTTACCGTTGCGGAATGGTAAACCAAAAGAGGATGACAGAACACGCGGCAGGCTATAAGCGAGCAAACAGAAGGTATTATGGGTCCTGACGAGGTTGTAAGGTGCGAATATCGGTATCAGACAACTAAATTGCCCCAGATAGGATGGAGTCGAAATGTCCAAGTTGCATATACCTAAGATACTGGACAAGAAAGGGCCGTGGGGCTTAGATACCTAGACGAATTAAAAAGGGAAGTGTCAGCTAAGTAATCTCGTATGTTCAGCAGAGTTCCTCGAGGGTTGTTGATCGTTCCTTGAAATACGGAAGAGGAGAAGGGAAAGTAAAGTCAGAAGAATACATATGTAGGCTCCAGGCGAAGTAGGGTTAGGTATCTAAACCGGACAAAAGTTATAAAACAGTATAATGAAACAGTACATGCAAGTGGGCAAGTTAGGTAAAGGTAAGGAAATGTAGGCAGCGACAGCGAAAGCGAAAGATGAGGCAAGACTTGTCTTCTTCATATGATTGATTTATGTACATACAAATACGCACGCTGTAAATGTTCCGGCGAGGGGGGGTAAGTGCTGCCTTGTAAGTGGGAGGATGGGGGGAAGGGATAAGAAGGCGAATGTGGGATAGACGAGATGGTTGGATGGTTTTGGATGAGTAGTAAGTAAGTGATTTACCTGTGAATAGCAGTTGGGTATTTTGGTAGTTGGATAATAGTTGGGTAATAGTTGGATGGGTAAGGCAAGTAAAAGGTAAGTTGTAAGGCAATTAAGGCAAGTAGGTAAAACAGCGTGAAGCTGCCTTACTGAATTAGAAGTCACCCATCTTACGTATTACGGCGCGCGGATAACACATGGAGGACATGGAGGGGGCGGGGTATTCTCACCTTAGAGTTTAGGAATTACGATGTATGTACCGAGGTACATGCAAGTACTATAATTCCTGATGGGGACCTTAGGGAATTCCTATGTAGGTAGGTATAATCCCTAGCGCGAGGCAGGCAGATTGCTCAGGTATCCCGATACTGAAGTAAGTAATTAGGTGCGCGTGCGCACTTGAGACAGGAAGTCAGGAAAATTGGTCAAAGTTGGGCCGTGAACGTCCGTATCGAGTTTGGAACATTAAGACCGACCACGACTTGTCCTCCAGGTCAGCAGGTGTAATGTAGGATATAGAGAATAGGAGAATAGGACAATCAGAGGTAGAAGAGAGTACATCCAATGCTTTAGGTCAGGTGGAGGAAGATCTGCACTAGCAGGACTAGGCACCGTTCAGACAAGTCAAGATAGGTACCTTACCTAGGTAATGGACCCTACCTATATTCCAAGGATGCACTTATTTGCATGCCTCGAAAAGATTATGATAGGTAGTCGAGGAAACGGCGGGAATAGAAAGAAGCTGAAATGTATCAGATTGGACGAATCTCCTGTTTGCGTGTCTAACTTCAGGTCGATAGCATCCACAAGAAGAAGCAGGACGTAGAGGAGAATAACAAGTTTAATGCCTTGTTGATAAGACGCGGGAAATGGTGGGGGTTCAGATGAGCTGCACTGTTGCACTACGAGTACGTACTATGTTTTATCTACATGTAACTACCTAAAGTCACAGTATAGAAATGTTTAGGTTAGATACGATGTCCACTAACCCACTAATCCACTAATTCAGCCTTGATTCAGTCTCCATTCTTACATGTAGTATATCGGGCACTAGGACGCAACTATTAGGTACATGTTAAATTGGATCCTTTAGAAAATGGATAGCTCACCTTAATGGATCACCTTTTGGATCACCAAGTTTATCTAATAGGTACATGGACACGTAAATCAAACCTATCACGGCGAACGAACTTATACCCGGGAATACATGAGAAGGCCCTGGATCCAGCCCACCGGCCATAATCTCGACGCAAGGCTGGTGTACCGTTAATGCAGGACTGATAATATATATGTCGACCTAACCTATAGCCTATTGCAGCATAACACAGAATGAGATTGGGAATACAACATCACACCTGAATATAGCTTACGGAGACAATATCGATATGGTATGGTCAAGTTGGTATTATTAAGTTATGACATAGCAGTTGGAAGTCCTCAAGGGATTCCCTCGCCGGCCATAACGTTGGTCTCAAAAACCAATGTATGTCTAATAGATAACTAGCCTTAGATCGAATCTATACCGTCCGTGCCTCTCTTGTACTCCTGAGTTGTAGTAACATCAATGGGATATCGCAAAATCACTCGTGCGCCCTTCATCTACCCCATCATTATCGTCGTTCCTAGCACCGTCATTCTCATCGTCCATAGAATCCATCACTAAACGCTTCGCAAATCTTTATAAGTGCGAGCTGACCACCATCCTGTAGAACTGGCTCGGTATAACCAACCGGACAGGCCGACGGCTAAAATGGAGTTATGATGCTTCTAGATATAGAAGATTTGGGGGCCACCAAATTTAACTCGTTCATAAATGTGTCGCGAGGTAATGCAACATTCATCTTGACGAGCGGGTAACCCTATCGTATTACCTATCCTCTCTAACGTGCCATATATTAGTTCGAGTCGGTCGAACACTGACTAGAGATCGCGCTCTCATAAGTGAAGTAGCAACGCCAGCGTATGCTTTCAAGAGTTGACCCAAGAAGCCTTATATGATGCTATGCTTCTTGAAAATCCTTTTCAACGAGTCACTGTCAAAGTCCTCATCGTCGGGGATCATGTCGATAATGCCCGTCAGGTTGGCAAACAGGTCGCCTTGGTTCCGATACGCAAGGACTGTAGGTACGGCGGCATTGTCAAATTCTATGTCTTCGTAGTGAACTTTAACAAAATGTATTTCGGGATGAGAAGTGACTAGTGGTCGTAGTGCCGATTCAATGAGACCTGATACTTGACACTATTTATCTGATTAGTACGCACTCGTGTAGGCAACTGTAGAGAGGAATTGACTAACCTCGTGGTCGTAAACGAATACTACCACAACCGTATCTCTTCCCACCCTCTCGATAGCATCCAAGTATCCTAATGCGTCGACACTATCGAAGCGTCCAAACATTCTCAGGCTTGGGCTTGTTCTCCGGGTGCGAATGCCATTCGTAGCCTCCTTCTCGAGCTCCTGTCTCCGCGTCTCCCGCCATTGTTGGAGAAAGCTATCCTCGTCTTCGTCATCTTCGCTGTCGCCGCTATGTGAGCCAGTGGAACGAGCTCCTTCTCCCTTTCCGAATACTGATTGGCGAGCGGCACGAACTCTGCTTCGCCACTTGTTCTGACGAGCCTGTTCATAGGCACGGGCATCGGCAATGACGCCCTTTACACCAGTACTGTGGCCCGAATTGAAGCTTGCTGGTGGCAGCTTTACATCGCCTGTTAAACTAGGGGCGCGCATGGCTGCTTCTATCTGTGCGTTGCGATAACGATCTTCTTCGTCTTCGTCTTCGTCTTCGTCTTCGTCGGATTTCTCGGCCTCTCTCCGAGCGTCGTCACGATCTTCGGGGTGTACTCGTGAACCGTGGTCAGTGTTCTTTTCGAGGAAGTCTTGAAATTCTTCCTGGGCAGGAGTAGGGTTATTGTTTACGTTTGCGGATGTAGATGTCATGATGGGCTAGTAAAAGACGAGAGGAGGGGGTGAGAGGATTGATATATGTGATAGGTTTCAGTCGGTGTGGGCGTGACCACGAGGTAAGACAAGGAAGATTCAAATAGACAGGGAAGCCTGTCCTGGGGGAGGGATGTGGATTGTGTGGATGTCGTAGGGTTTTGGTGGGAGGGAAGAAGCAAAATAGGGCAGGATAGGCTTGATGTACACCGCAACGACCCAGCTTTTCCAAAAGAAGGGATGAACGAGGGCTAGTAACGTTGGCAAGATTGGCAAGGTCGTTATGTAAAGTTAAGGTCTTGCATGGAATGCAAGGACTAAAAAAAGGAATGCTTCTGGAACAATGCCTAAAATCGACTAATAGGAAGGAAGAATAGGAAGAATCAGAAGAAAGGAGTTACGGAGGAAGGACTGCGGCATGCGTCAGAATGTTTCAGACGCCACAAAATAGAGCCTATCAGGTCTAGTCTCTATGTAATTGAGCAGTGCGCTATGTTAGAGAATATGTATGGTTATGTTTTTAGGTTCCACTAACCATGCAAATTTGTTTATAAATTCATGTACCACCAACCGCCAAGGTAGATACTTAGCTACTTGAGTATTGAATAGTTATACTCGAATACTTTGTCTTCTTTCAAGAGAGTGCATCGTAGGGTAACAATTGAACGACTGGTTATATACTGATCGTTCCCATTGTTCCTACGAACATGTGGAAGGAAGGCGTGGCGAAATAAAGAGGACAATTGCACCGCCGAGCCGTACACGTACACACATCCGCCGGATTGGGATGCGGCGTTGCCTGGTGTCAATACGATGCTTCGACAAGGATTAAATCGTGGAAAAAAGAACATGGCGGTAGTTGAACCATCAATAGTCAGGGTTTTTCTTTTTCTTGCTTGCGAACTACCTTGTCTCCAACCCCGTATCAATAGTTCTACCTACTAACTATTTCCTTACTTACAACATATAGCATTGTTTGATATGATGTGAATACTACATTATACGGTTTGCTAATCAAACAAGGTGCGGAGAACAAGAAAGTTGCTATACGTGATGCGAGGCAATGGTGACGATATGGGTGTTGATCCGAAGAGCAATAATTCGTATTTACTTTTTGACGGACCCTGTACCTCAAAGAATCAGCTTCCAACAGCATTGTGTCTAGTGTGTCTAGTGTGTCTAGTGTATCTAGTGTACCTATGTAGTGTAAATGCGAAAGCGAGCTGGGGAATGCCAGCCATATACGTCATACTGTTATTGTCCGCGGAGGGACGCTATGCTAAGTTCGATCCGTTCTAATAATAAAACGTCCGTTGCAACTTGCAAGTGTTAGGCCTTCCAATCTTCCAATCCGAGAAAATATCCAGAGAACGGCTAGTATGTACATAAAGCGCAGAGTAAGAGACACTATTTCCTGTGTGGCAAGACGTAAGTACCCAATCTAGCGTTGAAGTGCGAATAGCCTAATGGGAAAAGTTGAAGAGTTGTTACAAAGTTATTAAATGCTACGAAGTAAACCCCTGACGGCATGTTCTATCTATCATCTGACATCTAAGCGAATAAGGTAAGGAGGATCATGTTCAAGGCTCCGATTTCATTGCCATTGTGCTAAACTCCAATAAACTTATTGTTGACGGAATACTTCTAGAACTTCGATATCTGTAAGATGGAAGGCATAACAAAGACTAGTTACTAGGTAGTTTGGGGGGGGCCGGGGGGCGATGGCAAAATGGAACCGGGGTATAAGTGGAAAAGGGGGCTGCCTTGCCTAAAAATAACTCCAATCTTATTCATATCGGCTATGCCGACACCGTCTTATAGGTTGTCCAAAACCAGCAGCACGACCTTCATAGTTAACTCACTACCGTCTACGCCGAGTATAGCTGTTCATCTTAACAGGACAATGCGTCATGCACGACATTTTACGACGTCGTACTATGCCAAGTTTGTAGCTAATTTAATTCAACCTCCACTAGGGCTGCCTTGAGGAGCTGCTGTCATCCGCAGATCTTGCTAATAGATAACCGAGATCTGAATCTATGGCTCTATGTGTGGATTGGGGTCCGGAGAAGTTTCGTGGTCCTCGTTGTCCATCGGTACGTTGAATATCTCAACTTACTGGCGTCTTGGTGGTCCTGTCAGGGTTCTAAACCGACCCCAGACCAATATGGGCATACATATTTGTTATAAATTACTATTGCTTACCACAAGTGTACTATGTAGCTGTGGCCTCGACACATTGTCAATGTTTCTCTCAAAATGATAGTTAGCGACAGGGGCAATCCCCTTTACGCCGTAAAATTTCCGACTGGTTCGAACGTAGAGGGGCCTTCCTCACGTAGTAAGTGCCGGTCTTTAACTGAATTTTTATTGGCCAGAGGGTTCATCCGAAGCTGGTTGGCATTCCGGGAGATACATATCATCAATTAACTCGTATCTCCTAGAATTGAGCGTCAGCGTAGATATAGGTACGTTAAATATTTCGACTAACTAGGTAGGTGTATAAACGAGGTACGCTGTTCTATAGGTAAGACCTATCATACCTACTATAGGCTAATAACCCAGAGCACGCTATGGTATTTAACTGTATAACTGAGACGTGTATACTTGTTACTTTAATAGTCCTCCGATTCATCTGTAAGTCCCCAATCTGGTATGGCGTTTGATATAGGCCTATCCCCCTCTAATACTCTATATTCCTCGAGAGAGTTTCCTTAGTATGGTGGACTACCTGCTTATGATGGACCTACAAGACCTGGAAATAACTTCGTTGCTCCGCAAGGAAATCTAAACCTGGATCTAAACTTGGACAGGTATAAAAACTAGTGACTAGGTACACATACTGAGAGCATCAATTTTTCTACTTGTCTCGTCTAGAATCCTAACATTGCCACTATAATATGTAGGCGTGTAAACTTCAGATCTAGGTTGAAGTTTTCTTACCTAAGTAGTAGGTATAGGAATAGTTGAACTAACTTATGGATAGGTTATATTTGTTATACGCGATCTAGATTATCTCATAATTATGAACGTCTCCCTTTAATATACCGTATCGCCGAAGATACGGGCGAGGAGCGAGTACCTATACAACCATGCCGGAGAACAAAGAGCTACAAACCTAAGTAGCCGAGACTAGATCACTAATCTATATAAGAGCTCTTTGTTTTAGGCGTCTTAGCGGACCAAGGTTCCAACAGTGTCATCTATGGGGCCAGGGCAGCACCGAGTATGCCACTTTGCCTATCATACTCTTCTATCACGTACGAGGCTTCACCACCCTTCTATGTTGGTCACGAGTCACCAAGAAAGCGTTTAGAGCAAATAAGTCATAAATCTTACTGATAGAGAAAAGACATCAGCTTCTAGAGGACGTACGAGGCAAGACAGTGACAAGCGTATCATGTTATTAGTATTTTTTTTTTACCTATACCCCAGATCACGCCCCGGATTCACATACACCTAGTACTAGCCGCAGAAGTCTTAAGGGTCAACCTTACGAATACGTAATGATAGATGACGATACCCAAGTGACGTAGTTTCAAGACAAAGAATACCCCTTCCAACTACATCACTTCTCTGTTAGTTATGTCGTCACAAGTTAACATATGTTCCAGAAAATAACCTACAAAGTATACAAAGCAATAGTGCTCAACTTGGAGATAGCGGGCGCGACCAAATGCCCAAACGACAAGCTATAACAGTCATTTTATTAAACCGTAAACCCTCTTTGAGCATAGGCTGCGTCGGGACGACTACCAATGAACGCAGACAAATGACGTATAAGCTCCTAGTTGATAGAGACATGGATTGAATCTACGTAATATTAGATGACCCTTAACCACGTAGGGTCTCACTACGACCTCTAATCACCATCGACATAGATATACTTTTACATTGCTTACCTGGTATAGCATCTACCTTAGGACTAATCTGGTATACGTTTGCGTGAAGGAGCTATCCGAAGAAACATATCACCAAGCAGTAAGACAACATGATGACTTTAGATACCAAATTAGTTTGGATGATTTCAGCGTTCAGTATGACATGACTATGGTACAGACAGTAAGGGAAGAGCCGGTACAATGCCGGATGCGAATGTGTTCATCTTGCCCCTACTTCATTCAGCTGCACCTAGCCGACTCGATTTCCCTAGTACTAGGGCCTAGTACTAAGGAAGGATACGCCGATAAGAGACGACCTCTAAGAAACACCCGCAAGATGACCAGCCACCACGAAAAACCCAAATACTGCACATCCTCCCCTTCCACTGGACTCAGTAAATAGGTCACCACACTCAAGTGATTTTTCCTTTTATCCACAGAAGAAAAAATACCAATCAATACCTCCCCCCTCCATCTACTATAGTGATATCAGGGGCGGGAAAAGGCAATAAACAGGAATCAAGTAGACGCGCAAGAAGTGTTTTTGTTTCCGGGTGAAAGCCTTTTTTCATATCAACATGCCTCCATAAAGGGGGAGAAGACTGTATCCGTGTATCGAGTCGCCGAAATTTTTGAACTGAATCATAAGGGAAGCAAAGCCCAAAGGTTCAAGAAGAAGCCCAATCACCATACCGCATCTTCGTCTTGTAAATCAAGGTGCCCGGTGCCTAGCTTCGAAGAGTAGAGGTCGAACCGAGCGTTGTAAATTATTACCAATCAAGTCCGAGGCGGTATATTAGCAGACTAGCTGACAGATGCGAATTGGGTAGAGAAATATGATATTATGGAGGTATCTAAAAGTGAACAGGGCCGGGAACTATACACTCCCTTGGCCCCTCGGTCGGCAGCGGCGAACAGTAGTCCGGTGGGAATCGAGTACAACACAGGCCAGTAAGGAAAATAGTTGCTGGAAAAGGCTGTCGTGACTTCGTCCTGAGAGCATCGAACCTAAACGATTCGTCATGCATGACAGGTTGAAATTAGTTCAAAATATTCGTCTGAAAAGGGGGAGCAACAGCTACGCGGGTGATCCACGTAACAATGCTCCATCTCGACATAGACGTCCACCTAGTATGCCCAGATTTTGAGCTGTTGAGTGTTAGCGTATTCCGAGTCCGTCCAAAATGCAGGTGACAAAAACTTACCACAGAGTCCCAAGAGCCCGTGCACAGGCTGATACCGTCGTTGCTAACGCCCAGACAGCTGACACGGTTCTCGTGACCTACGAGGGATCCGACCTTCTCTCCTCTGGTGATATCCCATACCTAAAAACCGTTAGCCAATCTAGCTTAATTGTAGCGGAATAGATAAATATATACCTTGCATTCGAAGTCATCATATCCAGCGAATAGTAGGCGACCAGAAACAGAAGTGGCAACAGAAGTGATACCACATAGAATGGATTCAGACTATTATAATATTAGCATTCATTAGGCAGGGGTTATCTCGCCTCAGCCACTTACCCCGTAGAGATTGAGTTCCCTATCTGCTCGAATATCAAACAGCCTGCACGTCGCGTCGTCAGATCCTGTTACAAATGAATGGCCATCCGGGAAGAATTGGATGGCATTGATATCGGACTCGTGACCGGCGAATGTCTGCACGGCCTTGCCGGCACGGATATCCCATAGCTTCGCGAATGCGTCGCAAGCGCCGGATATGAATGTGTTTTGATTCGTAGGGTTCAGACTGATGCTCATGACATCGCCTAGATGGTCGGCAAATTCCATAACCTTTGTTCCGGTCTCGATATCCCACTTCATGCAAGTCATGTCACCAGACGAAGTAAGGATGCTCCGGTCGTTAATGAATCGGCAGCAAGATAGATAGCCAGCATGGCCAGATAGCTCACGAGCTACGCGTGTCGGCCCATCTCGGTTCTGGTTGAGATTATAGATGGAGCAGATGTTATCGAGACCACCGCAGGCAACATAATTACCGCTCGGGGCGTAAGCGCAGGTCATAACCCATGATGACCGTAAGGGGATGGCGTGAACTTTGTTCGTCGTATACGCATCCCAAATGATTAACTTGCCATCTTGCGAGGCGGATACTAGATGTCTTCGGTCGGTCGACCAGTGCATAGCATAGATCTTAGCCAGATGTCCCTTTAGCGTCCTCTTTGTCTTCATTAATTGATTTCGGGGAATTGCTTCGTGAGATTGCTGTGCTACGGCGCGAACTAAAAGCGACAGACATAAGTATTAGAATGAAGCGCATCAATTTTATTGCAACGCGTTTGCAATGCTGGAGATGATTATCAATCGATGGAGAAGGATAACTCACGAGTAGTATCGGCCAATTCATCCTTCTTTCGCTTGATCCTATCCTTCAAGTTCTCAGCCTCGCGTCGCGCCTGCTGAATGCGCGCCTGCATGGCCTCGGGCGACACATCGTTCGGACGTTGCGAGTCCATAGCGGCGGCAATGGATGTGTGTCAAGGAGAGGACCAAGGAGCAGCGAGGGAATTGGATGGACGGTGATGAACGACGGGTGTCGTCAAGCGGTGTGGATAGAGTTGATTTGGAGATCGCGAATAGCGTAGAGGACACCGAAGGGGGTAAAAAAGAGAGAAAAGGTGTGAGGTTGGAAATCAACTCGGGGTAAGGGTGAGGAGGGAAGACAAGCTCCAGGGGGGTCCTTGTCGAAGTGCTCTGACCAGTATTAAAAGGGTTAAAAATCAAAATAAAATAAAGCTCCGGCTAGGCCACACTCGGAGATGTAGTAGAAGAGATTGACTTAATTGTCAGGGCGAAAGAATGGGAAAAGTGTGGAGAGGACAGGACTTCAGCGTGCTGCTAAGTGCTAAATGCCAAGTGCTAAAAGGAAGTCAGGTCAAATGGATTTGGTTGCGTGTAAGTTGTAAGATAGTAAAAAAAGGTCACTGGCCTTCAGATTTGGAGATCGAAAAAAGTAATCAAGGCAAGACAAGAAAGGGCTAGAAGGAAGGCAGCGACCAGCAATCTGGAAGGAGTAGCAAGTGCTGTAGGCTGTACATAGGAGTAGGAGCAGGAACAGGAGGTAAGGTAAGCTAAGTTAAGTCTAAGTACCCGGAGATAGCGCATGTACAATGCATCAAAATATATGGAGACCTAGGTGTACTTATTTGTATGTAGGTTGGTACTGCAATTCTAATTCTTCCTTGCCATTCTTGCCATTCTCCCGCCTATTCCAGGGCATGCATATGTACATTTGGCATGGTTAGGTACATTAGGTAACATTCATTTGTGTATACACTTATGTACCATTCTATGTACAAACTAATGCAGATCGCACCGCCCGAACAAACATTAATATTTAAAGTACATTAACGTTAGTATATAAAACCTTAAGACCGTATTAATACCGTATATTCACGGTATAATTGTTTGAATAATTGCGCATTTTAATACGAAAGAAAAACAGTAGCTACATTTACTAATGATATTGCTTTATAACGGTATTTTTAAAATTAAACGTTTTTTTAAATTAACGGTTTTTTTATTATAAATGGTTTTTTTTAACTAACGGTTTTTTTGCGGTTTTAATACGGTTAAAAAAGGTGTAATAAATAAAAAAAAATATATATATATATTATTATACGTATTTATTTATTTACTTACATTTTACATATTAATATATATAACAATTATATTATACATTTTTACATTTTTACATTTTTACATTTAAACGTGTTACAATTACGGCTACGGTTACGGCTACGAGGTTACTATTTAAATACATTATTATATACGAGCGCGTATAGCTTATATTACTTAAATATATAAGGTAATAATCGCAACTTTTTTATTTAATTATTTACTAATATTACACTTTTTTAAACCGTATTAAAACCGCAAAAAAACCGTTGGTTAAAAAAAACCATTTGTAATTATATAAACCGTTTAAATAACCAACCAAAAATATACCAATTATATATATAACGAAAGTTATAATAAAACGTTCATGCATTCGAATAGTATTAAAGCTTTAAACGGTAAATATACGGTCTGGTTTTTACTTACTGTAAAAGTACGATACTTAGGCCTCATATCTTAACGCTAATGTACTACCATTTTAACATGAAAAAATAAGTACCCACATAGCATGTGTACCTACCATGTACAATGCCTCCTTTCATTTACATCGATATTTACTGCTAAATAATAATACGGCCTTTAGTTGTCTTGGCCTGTCCATCAGATCCAATTAGAGCATTATTGTTCTAGACGGTATTGTAAAGGAGAAAAAAACCATTCCGGCACAAACGTATATACATAGTGTGCGATGTGGTAAGCGACATGCAACCACCAAATACCTACCGGGCGATGTAGTATATGTAAGATTTAAATATGTACAGACAGTTCAAATATTTGTAGTATCAATCTGCCAGTGAAGTCCCAGGCCGCGCTGCAATTAGCTAAAAGGGGGAATGATAGGACTGACTAATGAGGCATTCTATTCGCTACGACAAGTAATTACGCCGCATGTGTGTACCTAGGTAAGTAAGCGCTCGGGCTTCGGTACTTTGATGCCTTTTTCGCTTGCGTAACAGTCAGTTATGTACGGATTACATAACATAGTAAAAGCCGACATTTATGATATGTTAGGTACTTATGATACGTATTTTTATTTAATACGCTGTCGCATTTTATATCGAGTAAAATAGGCCGACTATTTTAATTCTCCATGTTTTATCGCTTTTAAATTGACGTTCTTTTCTGTCTACATTTTCTAATTACTTGAACAACTCATCCGTGACAAATACATCATCAGACAATATATGCGTCTTATTAGAAAGAACAATGATTTAGAAACCTGGTCTGGGGAGATTCGGATCACGTCTCCCGAATAGATCTTATACCAGTGCTTACCATCCTCGCGTTTTCACCAATCCGACAGTCTAGTTTATTTATTTTTTGCATTTGACAGGAGCAGGGTGTCAGGCAAGTTGACAAAGCTTTTGCAAAGTAGTACAATTCTTCTATGCCCATGCCCTCCCTTTGTGACTTGAGGTCCTAGGAACATCATCCGTCTTTTGTCTTTCTCTTTGTGCTTACAACTTCACTAGCACAGTAGAGTCAAGATAAGGAGAAAACCCGGTTTGAGTTCGGGTTTCTAGATGAGAAACACCGTTCCCCGACTTATTAAATTAGCCTCCTCGCGTCCAATTCTACGCTCGCGGCACAGCAGACGAGCCAAGAGCCAACCATCGTTTAATACACCTGTCAAATAGTTCTTACAGATTAGTTGCAGTTTTCTCCCGTACGACGGTCAAGAATAATTGTCTAGTGACCTTAAGACTAATGTAAGCCAGGTATTGTATGTTTTCGTTATCACACCAGGACCCCATGCTATACCTAGGTCTGCCACAACACGATTAATAAGATATCCTTGCCCAAATAGCTTAGCTGCGAAAAGTCTCCGCTGCTACGGGAACAAGGAATCATGCTCATTACGGTCCTTCAATGCGGATATACTACCAGAATCGTCCCTAGTCCATGCCCTAACCGCGTTAGCCACGACGGTCTCGTTAATGAAGCATTCTCGATCTTCGCCTATGCAAGGTACTAGCTAGACTCGAAGGCGTCGGGTCCGACAATGGACCCTCTCCCCAGCTTCCTAACTCCCAACTCCCATTGTAACCCAGTCTACCAACCCAGTCTACCAGTTTCCCACCAACATAAGAAGAAAAAACCGAAGTTATTCCAAGATGCGCAGTATAAGAGGGCTAGGATTAACTCGGTTATTTGTTCCGATCATGTACAAAGGTCTAAATATGCAGTGCTTATTTGAGCAACGAGAGGAGGAAAACACCCGAGGCAAAGACTGAACAAGATTTAGTTGGTGGTGACACTAATTCGTCAAACATTACGCATCTCGACGAACTCCGGCCTTGCTTTAATAAGGCCGTTGAACGGATCGCTTACTACGGAAACGTACATATCGTGATGGATCGGATGGATCTAATACCTACCTAGGTATGCAGATAGAACTTCTAGAAGGGTTACTCGGTAGGAATCTGACAAGCCTCAAGCAGACAGTTTGTTAGACACTGTGTAGCATCGGGCGTAGTTATTGATAAGTATCGATTGCCAGACTCAAAAATAGGATACGATATCATTTACCGAGGCTTATTCGATTTTACGATCCGTTCAGATTTATCTCGTTGAACTAGTGAAGCTATTGACCATAGATGTAAATATATAGTAACCATCCACGCGACAAATGTCATCTTACCCTGCCAGTAAAAGAACATTGAAGATAATACGAGTGATGAATAATACTAAGCAGTTGACTGAGTGTAAATCTATCCCCGATCAGACAAGAATCTATTTTAGACTCGCGGATACTATTAATATTATAAATAACTAGTCGACGTTGCCCGTCGCTAAAACCTTCTGAGCAAAGCGTGTGATTTTCGTCCAATGGGGGGTTCTAAGTATCATCAGTAGCCGACGACTAGCCTGTGCGCATTTACACGAATATCGACTATCTGTATGTATTAAGCTTAAAAATTAGCCATAGACGTTTCAACTACAAGTTCTCTCCGCTATCCAGCTATATCTCCTGTGCGAAGCCTTAGCAGCATCACTTTAAGTTAAGGAATTTGATAGATCAAGTACGATGAACATTAATCCAACTCCCCAAGGAACTGTCCTAAACGGCATCATGGAACAAGAACTGGACTTGGACTTCAAGTCCATGCCCAAGATTGAGGTAAAGTAAATCAACACTCGAATATACTTAATTATATTAACATACATTTCATAAACAATAGCTCCACGCACACCTAACAGGCAGTATAAGCCGGCAATGTTTGCACGAGATCTGGGAAGTCAAGAAAGCAGCCGGAGAAACCGACCTGGAAGACCCTCTAGTCGTGATGCCGTTAGGTAGACACGACTACGATCTCACAACGTAAGAAGTAGCCCGCCCTAATAAAGGATGACATGTTGGCCTGGATAATAATAAGAGCTGAGGCCATCTCCCTAGCTTCTTCCCCCTCTTCTCTTCTTACATCTACAACCTAATTAACGACGCCCCGTCCCTTGCGCACTCCACCAAATCCGTCGTGCGCGACTTCGCCGCCGACGGAGTGGCGTACCTTGAGCTAAGGACGACACCGCGCGCCATGCCGGCCGCGGGCTTGGATAAGGCAGGTTATGTAGCAGCAGTGCTGCAGGCGATCGCGCAGGAGGAAGCGCAGACGCAGACACTCCACGCGCGTCTAATCCTGTCCATCGACCGGCGCAACACCCTCGCTGAGGCGTACGAAGTCGTCACTCTCGCGAAGCAATTCCGTGCCCAGGGCCAAGGCGTCGTAGGAATCGACCTCTGTGGCGACCCTACGAAGGGGGATGTAGCGCTATTCACGCCCGCGATAAAAGAGGCACAGGCCGCGGGACTGAAAGTGACGATCCATTTCGCGGAGGCGGAGGCTAGTGCTAGCTTAGCCGAGCTGAGCACGATAATGAGCTGGATGCCGGACCGGCTGGGCCACGTAATCCACGTCCCGGAGGGGGTCAAGAGGCGGATAGCGGCGCGGCCGGGGATCGGGCTAGAGCTGTGTCTTAGCTGCAATGTCCACGCCAAGATGATTGTTGG